TTCTATACTCTCTTTCACCTATTATTGCCGACAGTTTCCTGTCAAATCCTACGTGCAACAATATACGCTGCCGACGCCATTGCTCTCGCGGCTCCACTGTTGCACGCTTACACTAATATATATAGTTAGCAACAGTGGAGCCGCGAGAGCAATGTCGCCGGCAGCGTATATGGTTGCACGTAGGATTTGGACGGAATTTTTACAGGAAACTATCGGCAATAATAGGTGAAAGAGAGTATAGAAACATTAAGAATTTGGTAGTTTATAGATTTCGTATTTGGTTAGCATTATATTTTATTGAAACGCTTCAAGTGCCTGTGGTAGCGGCGGCGATGGCGGCGGCGGTGACTGCTAACAGTGGAATCATTCCCGCATCTGTATCGCGCCGTGGGTTTTTTTCCGAACACCGAGTGCGCATCAGCTTGTAGGAATTTTGCACGCTCAAAAAACCATTGCACGTGTCAAGCTAAGATTTCGGATTCTGATCTGTAGGATCTGTAGGAATCGTGGGCATGATATACACGTTGTGATTTGTGACGCACCCTTCAGCCAGATGCTTACATTACATCCTCGCGTTACCGACAGTCACTAGGCAGCCGAACTGTCTTAAAGTACAGAATAAAAAGCAGATTTTCAGCACCTTAATACTGCAGTAATTTACGGAGCCTCTGTTTCTAACTAGGATCGTGTTTCGGAATATAACTATGCTTACTATTGTTTCACTCATGCGAAGCAATGCCCGCATACTCGGTATTATCACTGAAGCCACCTTTGTCGCCTGCCACTCGCACTACACCGATACGATCCTGTCTCGCGGTTGATTCTGTGATATCCTCTTCCATCGCCCGTGAGCATGATCTAGGCGAAGCTAACCGAGAAGTATCGTCTTTCCTCGGGAGCTGAGCTGGACCGTGGCCGGCTGGAGATTCTAGCATCTGGGATGGATGCTACGTCTATTTATTCTCACAGTTCCAAATATCTGTACCGTCAAACTCCCGCGAACTGTCCGCGAAGAATATCGATCGACGGTAAATTCGGAAGAGCGGTGAACGATTTATGGGCGACCGAATTTAGTAGAGACGGTACGACGCGTTCGTGTGCGTAAGCAAACTACTAGTACACGCGCGTTTCATCAGTGAATTACGGTGTGGGATGTTTTTGGTAATAAACGAGAGGTTTTCGCAAAGTTGCTCCGAAGTGAAGCTCGTTAATTAACATCGAGATTACTGGCTGTATTTATTGGCGAGTAACCCTCGGAAGTATTTGCACTTATTGGTTCAATTTGTGATTGAGATTTTTTTCGAGCTCGGTTGCAGCTGCTTGAGGATTCTGGTAATTCTGGTTCTGGGTATTCGGTAAAACCCGAATAAAAGGGGTTATGTGGATCTTTTTTTGTTTAACACGGGAAGCTGTATTATGCTTGAAACATCATATGCGATCGTGGTTCAACTCCCGTTAAAAACCTCTGTTTAAAAGCGATACGTTTCTTTCTATCGGGGCACAGAATCATAAACACGTGTATTATTGGTTGAACACATTTTGTGATCGGAATTCGACAATATATAACCTCCAAGAATTCAGAGAATTATCCCAAGAGATTATTTGGCATTTCTGCGATATGCACATTTCTGTATGGGTATCTTCATATATGTCTATATATATACTGGCTGGTAATGTCTTACTCTTTAATTTTGTTTCGGTATGAGCATCTTAGTAAGAACTTAATACGGTTATAAACAATATTATTCTAAAGTGAATAGCAAAAGCTTGCTAATAGCATCGCTGTCTAAGTAAGGATTCTAAAATCATTGACTATTGATCTTATACGTGGAACGATATGTGTCTGTCATCTCGAGTTGTGGACCAAATGCCAGTTACTCAGACTTTTATCCATCTTGCTAAGTGGTTTGCCCCCGTAGCGGCAACAGACATTCCACGTAGCAGAATAACCGTATACTCCGGTTCAAGAAAATAAATAATATATATACATTTGTGTATTATCGTTTGTGCTTGCTTTGGCGTGTTTGAAGTTCGTTGGTTTGTTGACTATATGCATGGGTGTGGTTGTTATTCCGTGTAGTTTACCGAACCACATACGTCGCTGTCAAGAACTCGGGGTTTCTCTTTGTTGTGCTGCAAGCGGTGCACTGAGGAGGTAGTCGCGTACATCACCACGCGGTTTTAACATACGAGTATAGTTGGCTGTTGCTGTAAACACCAAGTTTTAGAAACAAAGTTAGGGGGCAGATTGTAGCATGTTCCTATTATGGTGGAGTTAATTCTATTAGAGACAGGTGTCACAGCCTTGACATAATAACGCTGAAATGATGTTCTAAGAAATATAAAATGTCATTTTCTCATAAACGCATTTAAAGCCAGTATTTTGAATTTTTTTTCAATCAGTCTCGTGTTTTCCCCACTTATACGATACTTACCATTATTACTTGAGTAACAGCTACTCGATGTAGAATTGATTTTGTGTAATAATTTCTACGCAGTTTACAAGATACGGAATGTGAATGCGTGCGCACTAGATTATCTGGGTCAACAGACTAACGTCTTTATTGAAATGTTCGTGGAAATATGCTATTTATGCAGTTATCAATAAGTTATTATAAGTTATCAATAATAACCACCCTATAGGTTTTCAGCGTTGGGATTTTGGCCTAGGGTTTCGTTCAGCAATATTTAGGGTGATACTCCATTAGGAGTTTTCCCAACTTTAATGTCATTAATGGTCATAATAGGCCTATATATATGGTCATGGTCATATATTAGTTTGTGGTTTAATGTAATTTAGGTTAGGGTTAGGGTTAGGGTTAGGATTATCAATCATGAATCATTAATCATTTATCATTAATGATATCAAAGTTGGGAACACTCCTAATGGAGCGTTAGCCAATATTTGAAAAAATCGGGATGATTGAAGTACAGTATCACAGTACGCGTGTTCCTGTAAGCCTCGAGTTGCGTTTAAACCGCATGCCCGGGATATTACTTACCGACAGCTGCGAACATTTGTCCGCATGCCCGCCTATTCCGCTGTGTTCATGTTCCATGGCTTCAGCTAGCAGGCAGCTATTTGCAAGACAGGGCAGTGGCACAGTCCCGCCGTCCATCAGCAGTGTCTGGGGGTCATGTCCATCACTGGCGTTGTCAGGGCGGCGGCGGCGGCGGGGGGAGAAGGGGAGGAGCGTCCTAGATGATGAATCTAGACTTCCTTGCCATACCGGGTCAACGTTCCGTGTGAGCTAATACGTGACACGGGTCGTTATGCTGTGGGTGTTTAAACGTTTCTTCCGATTTGTACGATAACGAATGGCAGAGTTCCCCCCTTTTGTATGTCATTTTCCATTTTTGATAGTGGTATTTTAAGGATATCATGGCAAGAAGGTGCATGATGACTATGGTGTATTTATGCGTCCCTCCTCTTACTATCCTTATTTTGCGGCATGTATGTTTAGCAAGCATTATCACAGTTATATATATATATATATATATATTTAAGAACAATTGGCCGATATTGGAATCAATAAGTTTGTATCGAGTTTGTAGTCTTCTTCGCTGTCCTTGCATGGCGTATGTAGGCCTCGGGTTTGGAAGCTTTAGTCTAACAGCGATGCACCGTCGTGTTGTGAATGCAGCAGTGCGTTTTCAAGGTTTTAGTGAAGAATGTTGTTGTGAGCTTTAGCCTGGCGACGCCTGTTTAGGATTCGGACTCTGCGTGATCCATCCCGACACCAAAACATCCCCGGGTAACTTGTGCTCATAGGGTCTATGTCCCCCAGGGTACTGCCGGAACGTACCCTGGGTACGGTCCGGTATACCGGAACGTACCCTGGTCACTATTTGATATGGTTAGGGTTAGGATTAGGGTTAGGGTTAGGGTTAGGGTTAGGGAGTAGGCGTAGGCGTAGGCGACTCCCTAGACTCGTTAGTGGAGTAGGCGAGGTACGGTCCGGCATATTAGATAGTACCAGGATACGTTCCGGTATACCGGACCGTACCCAGGGTACGTTCCGGCAGTACCCCGGGGGACATAGACCCTCTCAGCGTAACTTGGTTTGGTGTAAATAGCAACATTTTTGATGCGACGGGTCGTATTACTGGCTAACTGCCGCTTTGGGTGTATATTTTTGCATAGCGAAGATGTTTCTGTGATCCAGATCGTTAAAAGCATTTTTGGTTTGCAGGGCGGAAAAAAATCTGTGAAACGTTTTGTAGTTAAAAATATGCTGCCCAGGAGCACCAATTTTTACGCAGAATGTTTATATTCACGTTCTCTAAATTGGTGCTGTGGTAGCAGTTGTTCCACTATTTCATTATTTTCCGCTTTAACGAGCGACATTTGTTGATCTTTCGGGTCGATTTGTGGTGGATTTGTGCGCAATTTTGTTGAACCACTGACCGTGTAAAACATGTATTACGCTTATTACTGAAGTGGTGAAATGTTCCGACATTCAGAAAATTCCTTCTACACAGTCAAATAGGCTGTTATGCTGGGAAGTAAGTGCAATGGTTATACAGCCATAGGCAAATTAAAGTGTTTGTGAGATGTTTATCTGAGGGTTAGGATGAGAAAGAGGCATTGAGTATACACGCTAACTTTGGTTACGAAAATAAATGCCAAAAGCCTTTAAGCAAATTATCAGGAACATGACTTTCACCACCTGCTGGAAGGGCATCTCTTATATTGAAATCATACACCAGAAATTACAGTTTAAATATAAGTGTAAATGTATTTGAAAAACGCAATGTTAGGTGATGTGTGCTCCCATACCAATATTTCAACATTTGTTTACTAAAAAACACAGATCTTTTTATTAGCGAAAGATTAGTATTTAACCATTTCAAGTGCTATACATGTTCAATGTAATAACAGCTCACATATTATTTTACAGTTGTAAACAGTGAACTTGTTTCATCGCTGTTCCATTGTTATAAACTACTCGTTAATCCCTCGTGTTTAACATCTGGCTCGTTCGTTGCTGTTTCCACAGGCAAAACAAGAAAACGTAGTTGAGCTGCTAGGACAGGCAGATACCCTTATTCACGTACAGAAGGAACAGAAAGCGAGCGAGGTTTACCAGGCGATGGCAGAGTCACTCGGCGATGCGTGGAAGGACCTGAATGCGCAGTTAGAACTGCGCAAGGTCCTTCTCGATCAGTCCGTAGCGTTCCACCAGAAGGCAGATGACGTGAGTATACCCTGGTTGGCAGAGGTTTCCGTTGTCTCAAACGTTGGTAATTATACCGGGATTGTAGCCAAGGGTGTGGAGTGAACGTCTCCATTGAGTTAATGTGGCTTAACATGGAACGCAATTCGTGTAGGCATAAAAACAGTCTGGAGCTATTGCTAATCCTAGCTGTAATTCAGCTGTTTCCTTACATAAACAGTCATAAAATTAGTTTTTCCCTTGCATTTTTGAAATGATATAAGCAGCACCTTTTTTCCTAAAAACATTTAGATCTGCAATCCTAGATTTATTATGAGCGTCTTACCAGTTTTTTGTATTTCACAAGCGACAAGATTGTGCTTCATGCAAAGATGCCATGATACTTATTTTATAGAGCAGCAACTGCTGTCCCATAGCTCATACCCATGGCTTTGTAGCTGCGAACATACAGCGAGACTGTTATCAGCGACGCAAAGTGTTGGAGTGACTTGTCTTGAGACCCATAATCCAGGGCCATAGACCTAATACACCTAATAAGCGTACATCATTGCCCCAGATGGCAGACCTGCTTACACCGAGCGTGGCATTAAACCGGGACCGTTTCCTGCTGTTCAGTTTCAGGACAGGATGAATCAGGCACAGGAGAGCTTCCAGACGGCTCCCCTGGCCGATGACGTCGATGCAGCTGCAAAGCTCATCCAGCAGCATCAAGAACTGCGCAAAAGTAAGCTGGCTTCACAGTAGTGATGCGAGCACGCGATACGTAACGTCAGAGATGCCAACCACTACGATTTATCCGTATTTTATACGAATTTCTATTCCTTTTGCACCACTACGACCAGTTTGTATCAAACTACGAATTTCACTGTGATCGAAAATATTTATTTTTTTTGTTAATTATTGTCATTTTTTGTCAATTTATTGTCATTTTTGACCCCCAGAATGCAGGAAATTGCATCTCAGAATCAAAAATTTTTCTGGGGGGCATGACGGACCCCCCTAGCAAACTCGGGTCGCTACGTGACCCTTGAACTACTAATTTGATGGCCAGAAACTACAGATTGCTTCAAATATGTGTTGGCATCTCTGTAACATGGTTGGCCTATCAAATGTGGGGTTTGCGGAGGGGGGGGAGGGGGTCGTAGTGGATAAAACGGTTTATGTGACCGTTTAGCTCGTTAGCCATGTAGCCGTAGAATTGTTGTTTGTATAATGGTGTGCCCTGCTGCTGCCGCAGGCGTGTCATGTTGCCACGATTTTATATCTATCCGTACGTATTAAAGCTATGAGAAATTTCGATATTTACATGTAAGTAATTCTGGACTGTAAAGCAATATATGGACATGCAGCTAGTAGATTTTACTTTACAGTTTATATAGGGCACCACCATGTAATGAGTCTCTTAAAATGGGTTACCACATATATGTTCATACTTCAAGGTTATAGTCTAAATTCTTTAGGGATTCGGTGGGGAGGGGGGGGGAATTTGTGGCCTGTGTAGTGATGAGTGAATACTTTTATGGTTTCAAAGAAATGACCCACATGTAAGACAAAATTAGGCTAATGACGTCTAAAGGCTGAATTAACCTAAAGGCTGAAGAGGTTTGTTCTATTATTTATTACATTCATTTGAGGGTTATTGAATTTCATTATTGACATTTCCCAGTACTATGTAGGTGTGGAAAATGTTAAAACACGTTTTTGTCTACTTACTGACCCACCCCTACAATGAATCAGATCTCACTGCAAACATCTAGTAGTTATTTATGCCTATCTTTCGCGATTAAACCCAAACCGAGTTTTTAAAAAATCGAACAAAACGAAAAGAAATAAAATTTAATGGCTGGGATTGCTACACGTGTCTATCTCATACATGTATGTCTCTAAAAAGCGTCAAATCGAGTAACAACATCAACGTGTCGCACTCCGAACCTCGTTAACAGCTAACGGTTCCCCTCATGTCTGTCGCCTCCGTCTCTGCATACTGCAACTATGCATATGCGCTGGCTCACAAGATTTAACCTCAAATGAAGTAACAAAATTAATAAAACTCAAACAAAAACGTTCAATCGAATAGCGACACCAACTTGTCACACCCCGAACCTCATTGCTAACCGTTCCCCCGTGCGTCGCCTTCGTCTCGCAGTGATCCTGGAGTCGTCGATGCACACCCTCAACGAGGGCCAGTCGCTGCTTGACAGCATCCGCGAGATCGGCAGCCACTCGGAGATGTCACAGAACCGACACGCGACGACGGCGGCTTGCTACGGCATCGAGAAGATGCTCGAGCAGCTGCATGACCGCAGGCGCCGGCTCGAGGAGCTTTGGCACCGCAAGAAGATCCAACTCGAACAGTGTCTGCAGCTGCGACAGATCGAGCACGACGTGCGCCAGGTGAGGGGGGAGCGCGCGGCAGCGGCGATTCACGTAGATGGCTAGAAGGATGTCGTGACCGGGGGGAGATAGTTAGACTGATGTCGTATTCGGGAGGGGATGTTTAGAGGGATGTCATGACCGGGAGGAGATAGTTAGACTGATGTCATATCCGGGAGGGGATGTTTAGAAGGATGTCATGACCGGGAGGGGACAGATAGAACGATGTCGTGATGGGGAGGGATGGCTAGAAGGATGTCATGACCGGGAGGGAATGGTTTAAATGATGTCATGACCGAGGGAGACAGCTAGAAGGATGTGATGACTGGGAAGAGATAGCTAAAATGATGTTGTCACCGGGAGGAGATGGTTAGACCGATGTCGTGACCATGACCTCGTGGTTTCGTTGGCGCTTTGTTGTCGATGAGGGATGGTGACAGCTATTGATCTCGTAGGAGAAAAATGAGAAACTTTGCACGAGATTGATTATGCTTCCTCGTGTGGGGCTTGTATGAGGTTTACAGCCCCAACGACCATTTGTCTGAAGTATTCTGACCGCTGTTCACTTGCATTCTGTACGTAGATCACAGAGTGGCTGGCCAAGAATGGAGAATCCTACATGGACATGACAGATCTTGGGGAATCTGTTAACTCTGCTGAGCAATTGCAAAACCAACACAATGCCTTTGAATTAGCTGCCAGAGTAAGTGTCGTGTTTCTCAATGCAATGCCACATGAATACTGCAGGTTCTGTATTATATTAAATATGCAGACGTAAGTAAGAATACGTTATGCACTGCTATATATTCTTTTAACCAAGTGCAGTCCAATAGTGTTAGTTTAAGATATTGGAGTTAATTTAAAGTTTTCTTAAAAGTCAGCCATCATATACTCGTGCTGTTTCACTTTGATTCAATATATTCACAATGATTCCACTTCATTGCTGTTAATTTTTTGATTGTCTCTAATGAGGGGTGAAGAAAGCTAATATGATCTGTGCGTTTCGATTTACCTGCAGGAAGTTCAAGACCGTGTGTTCAAGGTAGTGCGAAATGGAGACCATCTGATACATGCGGGTCATCCCAACTCGCCTGAAATTCAGCAGAAGACCGATGCGATGGCAGGCCAGTGTGAGCAGTTTATGGAACGGCTGGATGACAGGCGAAGAAACCTAGCCATGGTTGTTGCCTTCTTCAAATCAGCTCACACGGTATGTGCGCAGCCAGATCATGGTAGTTAGCTTAGAGGGATCTCAGTAAAAACTTGCCAATTCACGTCATAAACGAGACAATAACAGTTGTAATTGTTAATGGTAATATGACATACCATGTAATGGTAATATGATGTGCCATGTTAAGTATATAGGATAAATAAACAGCCAGTCATGTACTTAAATTGTCACTTAAAGTAAACCCCACAAGTGACCTTTATAAAAAAAAAGAAGGTATTTGTTCTGTAGAGGTGTCATATAACACGGATTTGTCGTGATAATAATCTTTGAATGCTTTTGCGATCACTTGGCTTATCTGCCGCTGACAACACAGAAGCTAATTTCTGTCATTTTTTACGCACAGGCTCTGACGAAGCTTGACCAAATTGAGGTGCAGTTGAACGACAGAGAGAACCTACCCACAGAGAACATTGCGGCTCTTGCCGAAGTCCACTCCATGCTGGCGAACGCCATCGTGGAAGTGTCGGCGCCCGCGCTGCGCGAGGGTCATATCTTACTCGAGAGGGTCGGTAAGACTGATCCGGGCGCTGGCGGCGTCGTCAGCATGGTGAGTGTTGTCGGGTTGTCTCTCCTGTGTTTGCATACCTCGATAACGTCGAGTTTAAATGTTAATGTCTGTGAGTGGAATCCTATTGGGTGCTAAAGGTGTGTAATGTGTTTGTGTTGGCGTTGTTGTTGGGCGTTTATTCTAATCCTCGTGTGAAAGATGACAATCTTTTACTGTTAGTCGCGAATTTTTCCCTATCGTGATACCTGATTCGCTTCTGGAAGTTAAGGCTGGGGTAAAAACTCCAGATTCGTGAGCGTGAATTTTGTTTTTACGAGATTCTTGTGCCTTTTGGGTTTTGTACTTGCTTTAGGAATTTAATCCAGAAATCTGAGTGAAAAATGGAAATATTTACAGAGAACTAAATTAACGTTTAAATATTTAGCTGTGAACTGAGTTGATGCAATGTGATACGATCTGTGGTGTCTAGGTTGCGAGACTGGAAGAGCACTGCAAAAAGATAGAGAGCCGGTGTGAGGCACACAAGCAGCTAGAGTCACAGAGGAGTGCTATCCAGAATGCTTTCCAGGAAAGATACAACAAGGTATGTGTGTGTCTTGGCTCGTGTGGGCGTGCATTCTCGTGTTCACACAAATATATGCCATCTTGCCTTACTTGACTGTAAATTTCACCTCTTTCATGAGGCAGTGAGGTTATGAATAACTTTCTTCACTTTTCTCACTTCAACTCCACTTTCGAACTTTTTAAACCATGTGACTACTTTTGATGGCATGAAATATTTGAATTTACAAATTTATTTCCCAACAGCTAAACAACTGGTTAGTGAATGTGGGTCAGGCATTCCTTGCTTCACATCATGACATGGGCAGTGTGCACTCCACTGCGAAGGACTTTTTAGAACTACACGAGAGACTAGCAAAGGACATAAAGGCAAGTGATGTTGCCACGAACATTTTATCTACTCTTAGTTAAAAAATAGTGACAATTTCAGGTAAAGTTCATCCAGTCGACAGTTTAATAATTGATTGATATTAACTACTGGTTCTATAATCAGTTTCCTCTACTCATCTAACTACGGATTTTCATTCATATTGATATCCACCCGACAGTGTAATTAATCGACGACTAAACATGGAGGTTTCAGTCCCCTTAATTCCCTCTCTGCTGCAGGAAACCGACGGCCTAGCCCAGGAGCTGGGGAGCGTCACCGAGGACCTGGTCAAGTCAGGGGACCAGGCCGCGGCCGACGCCCAGCAGAGGGCCGGCGCGCTGCAGCAGGCCTGGTCGACGTTCGCGCAGCGCGTGGACGCGCGCATTGGCGTTGCTCGTGTCTTTGTCGAGTTCCACCGCTCGGCTGTGCGACTCGCCACCGAGATGGACTCGCTCGAGGACATGCTGAAGAACACGGCTGAGCACGCCGACGTGCTGCCAGACGGAGCGGTGCTGCACGTCGAGGACAGGTGGCGCCAGGTGCAGCAGCTGTATGCGCAGCTGCGCCAGACCGCCGAGCAGTTCTTCGCCGAGTCTAGTCAAGTACGTCCGCGGCGTGGTGATTTGATGACGATTGTCGATTTCTATGGTTTTCGTCGCACGTTAACGTTAAAATATGTTCTCACGTGCCTTACAGTATGTATATATGCACGCACGCATGCACAAACCTTGTGCACACACAAACCTTACACGCACACACACACGCACAAACCTTACACGCACTCAAAAACCTTGCACGCACGCACGCACGCATGCACCATGCACACATGCATGCACGCATCGAGTAGTTCGGTTTTCGATTGCTTGGTCTGTGAGAGATTGAAATTGCGTTGGAATTCACCTCTTTATCTCTCATTTTGTGCAGCTAGTATTTTTTTAAATGTTTGTGAGTCTACTGCCACCATGCTAGGGACTGGCAAATTGAGTCGTTTGCTTCGAACATATTTGTACTTTGTCGGAATTGAAGCCTGATGGCTTGGGCCTGGGAGACCTTGGCTTATGATGCTTCCACAGTCCCTTGCTTCAATTACGTGCAATAAAAAATATCACTGCATACAAACGTGCAACTGTCAAGCTTCAAAGATGCACTCATTTAGTGGATATGCGTACATATGTGCATACATTTTCTCATCTAATGAAATTGCCAACGTCGACGAAAACTGTAAAAGTTCCTTCTTGCGACAGGTACAAGATTCAGACCTGGATGTTCCGAGAGCTCGATCCTGCGTCACGGCGCTGACCGAGCACTTTAACGAACGGGGCGAATCACTGGACAAGATGTACACGTCGTGGCATACACACGTGACGGCACACAAATTGTTCAAGACACAGTGGGAGCAGTTCATGATCGAAGCTCGAAAGGTTGGTGAACGAGAAAGTGACAAACGTTTTAGCCACATTCAACTAGCTAGGCTTATGTAATGGTAAACACGTGTCATGTTGTGCAAGTCATAGTGGGTCTTGTTCATGATTGAAACTCTGAAGGTAGATGAACGACAAAATGACCACCATTTCCCCCACAATACGCGTAGTCTAATGAAATGTCTAGCAATTAAAAAGTAAACTTAACATTGTTTGTATTGTTTGGGAATTATACAGTATTTTTAATTCAAGTTTTAAAATTCTACTATATATTTATTCAGGCTAGAAGTATTAAAAACGAAAGTCACGTTTACAGATTTCATATGAGGAAGAATAGGACAGTGTTTTTTGCTGGCTAGTACATGTTTTCACAAATTAATGTGATAGCAATTGGTGGTCATATTGCAATTGGTGTTGTTGATTATGGTGATCCTTCACTCTATGTTTTGCTGCACACACGTGGATACTAAGCTGTAAGATAATATGTGACTCGTGTATTCCGCCTTTGATGTATTCCTCTGGAATTGAAAAGAAACAAAACACCAGATAATAATCCCACTTTTAAATTGCACCTTATATTTCTGACTATTGGGTGGCATCCCATAGAATCTGTGTCACCTGTGCAAAGCAAAACCTTTTCCTAAACCTCGTCCTAAACGTGGTTAAACGATGAGCAAACGGTAAACTATAACTTACTGGTGTTTTGTTTCTTGTCTCCAGACAATTGACTGGGTGATGAAAGCTGAAAACGACCAGTTTCCCGTGATTGCTGGTGACCTTGGTGGTTCGCTAGAGGGCACCCAGCATTTCCAACGCCAACTCACCGAGTTTGAGCCCACACATCAGGTACACGGCCCATCTGTTTGCTTATACTTCAGGCAATAACTAACACGATGGAGATGGAGAAGCAACCGTTTGGCCCCAACGTTGCGGCAGACCTCAGCAAAGGTCTGCAGGCGACGGAGGAGCAAAATCGCATGCTGGAAGAGTTCATGCCACAGGCACAGGTACCGCGACATGCGACGCAAATCCATCACAAGTAATGATTGGGCAGTACGACGTGTCCAGTGCAATGTAAAAAGTCGGCATGGAACTAAAATAAAAACACGATGTCACGGGTATTCACACCAAGCAGTTGCTCCTCGCTATGATCATGTCATTTGTCTCCATAACCTAGCTGACTGATAAAATTAACGTATCTTGCCTGGCATGATTTCCAGGCAGCTGCAGCTAATCCTTGTTGTAATAGGACATTTCGAGAGACAATTCTTGGCAACAGAATGCTCCAAAGCTCGTGAAACGTATTAATAATTCCGTCGTGACCGATCTAGTGTCTAAGGGGGTTTTGCTTATCTCGTTTCGATGAATAAGTCAATTATTAAGTAAGAAATGCTGTCTGTCTATCACCCGGGTCTAAGTACTCGCTTAACACACCTCTACGAGCACATAACACACTTCCTCTTCTGCGGATCGACTAATTTGCCGATATCGGCTTGGTTGACAGAGGGCGCTGCAGGAGCTGGAGACGATGATCAGGATGGCGGATTCGCTCGGTGCTCAGGGCGACACGCACGGACAGAAGGAGCAGATCGTCACCGAACTACTGAAGGTCTACAAGCGCTTCCAGGGCCGCATCACCGAGTACCAGATGCTGCTTAATCTCGCCATCACCTTCTACAAGAATCTCAACCAGGTGAACGATGCGCGATCGCCCGCTGCGTCAACCCTGTCCACAACGTAGTACTGTCACAGCGCACATACGCGCGCAAATTAAATTAAGGTCGAGAAAGATGGAAGCACGATTTCGGCCTGCAGGAGAATTCTGCATACCGCCGACATCACATATTCTGTGATATCATATTATTTACACATACAAGTGCACTACAAGTAGTCATGCTAGAAATGCAAACGCTTGTTATATACTTTTATATTGTAAATGTATACGAATTTAGACATTTTGAGTGGCAAGAATCATTAATCTTGTTGGCGACAGTTGTTCTATAACCCAATGAAATGGCGTTCTTTGAGCTGCCTTATCAGTCCGTACTGTAATTCGAGGTCAGGGAACTAGACTGGCCACAGCTGAGATGTGTGATCGTGACAACCGAATGCTTGCGTGTGTGTGGCGGGTGGGGGCTATCATTGACAGGTGGTGACCGTGCGATAATACACTTGTCAGGTCGATGCCGTCATCGCTGATCAGGAGCGCGACTTCAAGTCGGAGGAGTGTCCGATTGAGGTGTCGCAGGCACAGATCATGCTGCAGCAGCACATCGCCAACAAGGACGGCATCAGGAACATGTTCCAGCACACGTTCAACGACGGAGAGAAGGTCGTGCAGAGAGTCAGACAACAGGTGGGTAGCTAGCCTAGCTTACACTGGTGCGGTCCCGTCGGGTTCAAATTGATAACAAAAAAATAAAAAAGAGTGAGCAGACCCTCAGCAACCTGTAATTATTTTGGCCCGATGGGAAAATTGTTATGTATAATGGTCCTTTTTATGAACCCCCAAGAAGACAAGATGGCCGATTATGTTATCGTCTCATACATTATCAGGGGTTTCATCTTGTCAGTTGCTGTCACACCAGAGGGCCTTGTGCAGTCAACACATGATGGAACTTATAAATACTCCTGGGTTTTTTCAGAGTTCAACTTTATCGCAGATGTTAACGAAAGAGAGAAACGTTATGAGAGAGTAACCAGATTTCAAAATATTGAGATTTTGGATGGTTTAGCCCTTATGTAACAAGATCGGTTGTTATGGCTGTTGGGTGATAAGTGACATTATTTCGTGGTAGGACTTTGGAGAAGTGTCTATGCAAGACGTGCAGGGCATTCTGGAGCTGACAAATGACAAGAGAAAGCGATGGGAGTGGCTATGGGATCAGAGGCAGAAGCAACTGACACAGAATCTGAAACTCTGTACACTCAAGAATGACTTTACCAGGGTGAGTAAATGAAAGTTATGCTAGGTGTACTAGCATTAACGAAACATGACAAGATTAAACCTTTATTATGATGTAATTTAATCTTTTGCTACTAAATTCGCAGTTAAAAGGACATCGTATGCGTTTTTTGCCTATTAGATTACTGGCATGATAGATGACCTGGATGGCCAGATTCAAGCCAGGAAGGGACAGTATGGAACGTCTGTACAGTCTGCAAAGATGACTTCTCAAGTTTTCATTGAATTCCAGAAGACACTCGAGGTACTGTGTAGTATAAAACTCACTCGGTGTCACAATCAATAACGAAACGATCATTTGCTATAAAAATGTTTTCCTGAACTGTCACTGTCGTTTTCCTGAACTGTCCTAAATGTAATGAACTGTGCTATACACGACCTGGCTTGAAAATAGTTGACCAAAGAGAGAAATACACTTTGTGGTGAGAAGGTAGCATGTTCCATGTATGCCACTGTACACGAGTACTGTACACTAGTAGCCACTTAATTACTTGTATCACAGACATATCTTACAGTATAGATAGATGCACAATGCACACACTCATGCACACACGCACGCACGCACATTATCTCATTATATACATATATGAGACATATACTATAGTATACGTCAACTTTACCGGCACGACCGAGACAATCACCGGCTCGTTAGATGCAAGAACAGCCTCTAAAAACCACCCAGCCTAGCTGCATAGAAGCTGCACTCGGCGGCTAACTATGTACGTAGCACGTGCGCCGCTGCATGTGCGGCTGTCTTGTCCCGTGACATCATATTCGACGGCGACTAGCCTTGCACGCCGCTTGTGCGTTTCACTCATCACGTCCCGCGGCTTCATCGCCTGCCGCATCTCTCTCGTGACAGCTGCTAGAGGTGCAGATCCAGAAGTTCACGAGCACGGCGGAGATGATGATCTCGGACGGGCACTACGACGCGCCGGCGATCCGGCAGAACGTCACCGAGCTGCAGCGCAAGTGGAGTCGCTTCCACACGACGATGGGCGAGCACAAGATGCTGCTCGACCTCAACGTCACCCTGCAGGAGCTCATCGAGGAGGTAAGTGTCACATACGCCTTAGAGAAAAATGTGTCACTTAAGCATTGCACAGCGGTATGTGTCACGTAAGCATCACAGAGGCATGTGGTGCATAAGCATCACAGAGGTACATGTCACATAAGCATCACAGAGGTATATGTCACATAGGTGTCACAGAGGTGTTTGTCACATACGCCTTCAAGAAAAATGTGTCACATAAGCATCACAGAGTTATGTGTCACGTAAGCATCACAGAGGTGCATGTAATGAGAAACTTAGCGTGCTCTCATCGTCGCGCTGCGAATCGTTACAACACGACTCTACGCTCCTGAGTGCTTCACACACGTTCTTGTGCTTCGTGTGTCACAGACGGAGAGTTGGTGCAAGCACGCGAGCATGCTGCTAGTGCAGGTGGGCCGCATGTCGACCGAGGTGAAGACGCCGGACGATGCCAACCATCTCATACACGAGGTGAACAACTTCCTAGAGCCGTCCAAGCACCAGCAACAGGACAGAATCAACAAGATCTCGGAGCTGTCCGTGCAGCTGTATGGTAAGTATGCGTTACACATGTTAACGCCACTCGGAAATCAACTTGGGTTCTTTGGTGTTGAGGCGTGTCGTGGCAGCGCGTAGGAGCGGTGGAATCGTTCCTGACCCATGTGTCACTCCTGTTGTGGCAACGCGTAGGAGCGGTGGAATCGTTCCTGACCCATGTGTCACTCCTGTTGTGGCAACGCGTAGGAGCGGTGGAATCGTTCCTGACCCATGTGTCGCTCCTGTTGTGGCAACGCGTAGGAGCGGTGGAATCGTTCGTGACTGATGTGTTGCTTCTGTTGCAGGAAACCAAGGTCCAGTGATGGTTGAGCCGATAGTCGTGAAGAACAGAGAGATCATGGAAAGTTTCTGGATGATTAACACGGAGCTGAACAAATTTGTCACCAACCTGCAACAGCCACAAATAAAACCGGTAGGTTGTGGGCCTTTAGGCGGAATAATTCATGTTACATCCTCTGGAAATGGAAGGCTGTAGCTGTAATTACTACGTGGCAGGGTTTTCTGGGGCTGTCTTAGTTAGTTACCAATATTATTTAGTTATTTTTGTTTTTGATGAAGAAGGTTAACAAAAGTTTGTAACCGTGTTACTAATTCTAATGGTTTTATTTTCTACCATTTACTTTTCCATTTTTTTCTTATACAAGTTTTATATGTACACGTACTCAGCCTTTTAAGACCTACGGTTTAGTATTCCTTTACTCGTTTTTTTTTTGGTTCAAATTGCTTTTGTGTTCCTGTGTGAATGCTAGGAGATTCTTGAGTCGATTGAAGAGGTCCATGTACCTGGACAAGAGGTAGAGTTTATAGTTGGTATAACCGGTCCCGGTGGCGAGGGGGCACCCGCGCAGGAGCCGTCGCAGCACATGAAAGAAATGCAACAGATGATGGAGTCTGCAATGCAGACGATGCAGCAAGAGATGACAGTCGAAGAGTTTGTGGACTCTACGCGCGTGGAACACCAGCAGCAGCCTGTGCAGGTTATTGCTCGCTTACTGTAAAAAAATTCCACTTGAAATTTCATGGTCTTGAATCAGGAGAATTCCTCAGCATGGAATTTCGTTGCGGAGAATGAGATCGGGCGTGGAATACGTTGGTTGATGTTGTCCTGCTGCATTGATTATTGCATATTGTGCAACCAGTTGCCGCCATATCGACCATGGAGACGATACATGGTGTTCTGCGCTGCCGTGTTTTAATGAATGTCATGTGAGATCCTGCTTGTGGAGTAACTGTGGAATGCTATTATTTTGCCGATTTTTCATAAAGGCTGATGCGTTTCTCAATGTGTTGATCCTCTCTGAAGCATGCAAATGCATTATGCATATACTCCCAGCCATTATGGCCCGTATTGTAGAGTTAGAATACCATTTCCTGCCATTTAGCATTCCCACTGCATGATCGTCGCCCAGTGCACTACAGTGTGGATTGTAAAGAGAGCGTTTCTGGCAAATATGTGTTCAATAAATTAAACTACGCACTCAAAACCATTTGTAGCTACATCCTCGCTTGCTTGTGCTTTGGTGTTTCTACGTGGTGTCTGTTGTTTGTTGAGAATAGGCTCGACTCTTGAAAGAACATGTTTATACCTAATGTAGTTAGAGTGTTTTTACCTCCTACTAATATTATTATTCCCTAAAATTGCACCATATTGTCTGCGTTTGCCGTTTTTTATTAATAGTTTAGAGAGATTGCTTTCAATTTTTTATTACTTATATTTCTATAATACATAGGCCCTATATATTTCTATTGTTTCTCTCCTACTGTAAGTTATAACAACTTTTTAATTTTTTAATTTTTATTGTAATCGTTATTAACTCTATGGTATTATAATGCCACCTTGTCTGTTTTGTTATTAACTGGACGTAAAAGTAGTGGAGGCGGCATGACATCTTTGTCGGCTTAATGTTAACACTGTGGTATCATTCACCTAAATCTCAGGAGCCCGCGACAGAACCCGGTGCATATTTTCCTGTGGACACAGCAGAATTCATAGTTGGTATTACGGCAATGCAAGAGCAGCCGCAGCAAATGCCCGTGTCAGAGGTAGTCTCACAGACAGATGTCACTAGACAGGAGACTGTCACTAGGCAGGAGACTGTCACTACCGAGGTGACAACGGAAACACAGCAGCAGGTTGTTAACCGTGTCGGCGTTCTAGATGTCGTGGATGTAGAACCGTGTTCGCTTTATTGTCGCTTTATTGTCGCTTTATTGTCTGGCATTATTCCAGCTTGCTACCCACTCCCTCTGATGCTTGCAGCTTTTAATCTACATTGTCAACTATTTGTGGAGGAAGAGTACACTGTAATTGGTAGTGCTTCAGCTCTTAAACGATCGATTACACATTGTTTGTATAGCTATATATCTGGGTTTTTCATTTTGCTGTGTGCTTGTACGATGTACTTATAAATATATAAAATATATAAGTGGTAAATTCTCTTTAAGCACGATGTGCATGGACAATTTTCGGTCACCATGCTTGCTCATGTTACTGATTACTGGTATATCAAACAAGGTTGATGGTGTTTGATCTCAAGTGATTGGTGACGTTTCAGTCGCATGTGATGCCGGTAGATCACGCGCAATTTTTGATTGTGCGTGTGTCGCACTGACATGTTGATTCTTATGGCGGTAGTTATGGGTGTCAGTAATGGAATTTCCTACAGGAAGGTGAATTTTCCTATGTTATGGTAGTTTGCTGATGTGTTTTCTATTTTGCTGCTTATGGCATCATATTCTACAGTCAGTGTTATTTTAGAAATTTGCTTGTTTGTACAAGGTCGTAGATAGTGCGTGTTTATGGGTTCAGTTTAGATGAACTTGAGTTTTTGAGTTTTTTATTGCAAAAGCATTTATCTGAACAGTGTGATCTGTATTTCAATATTGTAAAATCTTTATTTTCTGTACGTGAGATTATATTCTGTACGCGAATGGCATGTACCTTTTGGCAGGTTGTTGAGATCCTCACCAACATTACTTGTCTTGAAATTCAATCTCTCATGTGACCTTGAAGTGGACTCTAGAAGTAATGACTATAAACACGAGTTCTTCAGCGTATATATGTCAGCAGCTGCTGTAAATATTACCAGGCATTACCTCTATTATTATTCTACCTACTATTATTTTCTCTTACCGTACTGCAAGCGCATAGGCGGGGGGGGGCGTGTCCTGGGGGCCTAGGACCCCCCCAATCAAAATCAAAATCCAAAAAAATATTCCAAAAAAATCCACTTTTTTTCTCTATTTTCTTTTTCTCTTAAAAGCTGCAGAAGTATTGTCAACAAAACATGGCGTCTAAATCTTGATTTAAAAGCAATATTCTACATTGAACTCAAATTTTTTTTTAGACCATCAGCCCAAGGACCCCTCCGCCCCGTCAACCAAATTACTGTACGCGCCGCGGCCGGGCGCCCCCCCCCCCCGCCCCCCCCCCCCCCCCCCGCCCCCCCCCCCCACCCCTACCGCCCACCCGCCAACCGCCACCCCCCCCCCCCCCTCGCCCCCCCCCCCCCCCGCCCGCCCCGCCCCCCTCCCCCCGACCACCCCGCCCCCCCCCCCCGCCACCCCAACACCCCCCCCCCACCCCCCCCCCCCGCCCCCCCCCCCCCCCCCCCACCCCGCCACGCCCCCCCCCCCCCCCCACCCCCACCCCACCCCCCCCGCCCACGCCCCACACCCCCCGATGGTGAGGGTCTTCCGGCTACTATCAGGCCCTGTTCCGTACCGCGTGCATGGCCTGCGTACTGTCTATTTCTATGTAGATTTGTTATACGCATTTATATAAAGGAATCTGTTGTGTTGTAGATGCCACAAGTTCGAGGAGGTTCAATTCCAAGTAGGTCTTCCAGGCAGAACCGATGGCGCTGCACACTGCTGCAGCCATCCACAGGTAATATCAACACTACCTGCTCGTAGTCAGATTTTTAAGAGGTACTTCACTTCGTCTTGTACAAATCACTGAATATTTGAAATTGTAGTATATAAACAAGAGGTGAATGTGTTCTAAGGTTACTGTGCTGTGTCATTCCAGGTGATCTCATAAGCCAAAATGTTGAATTTAACAAAATTACAATCTTGATTGATACTAATAGTTGGACATTTTACAATTTCAAGTAGCGATAGAATGAATATAGAATTTGTGTTATTGGATACAAAAGATCCCATTAAATTTGGCACATGTAGTTTTAGCAATGTAAAATGCCTTTTGCTGGAAAGAATTTGGTGTGCGTAAAAGGTACAGAAATGGGCATTTTAGGTGTATTCATGGATTCAGTTTGGGCCAAAACCTTGCCAACAGTGATTGATGGGGCCTGCTGTGGAGGCAGATTACAGTACACGTTTTATATAAAGGTGTAGACAAATCGTTTACAGGTTCACACACACAGACATGCACTTACGGTGTGGAATGATTAGTAGTTGTTCCATGTTTGACAACCTCAGTGAAATAGGGTGCTCAAAGCGTGTACTCATAACGCCTAAAATGCCAAATTCTGCCCCTTTAATATGTTATATAGACGAGGTTTAGTTTGTCGGGTTTGCACATTTTTGTTGTTATCTAAACAGATGCAGACTGCTCCAGAGCCACAGAGGTCAGAGCTTGAAATTCAGAAGAAGCACGAGCCGGTGGAGTTCATGGTCAAGGTATGTATCTGTGATGTACATAAATTATACATGTTAATTAACAAGCGAACTAACTCATTAATATACTCATAACGATTAGTCGTCCATTAACACAGTAATACATAGAAAGAAGGGACAGTAGCAACATAATTACTGTTGTGTACAGGTTGATAGCGAACCTCCCATGGTAGAGGAACCGATTTCACAAACGCAGGTACAGCAGGTGAAGGCTGAGCCCATCACCCCGCAGACTCCGTTTGCTCCGCAACAGTCAGTTTCGCGTTGTGCGCCTAAACTCAGCTACCCCCGTCCAGTCCAGCACGCATGGCTGTCGTAGAGCAGTAAACTGCGATAGGCTGGTGCGTGGCGTGGTGGTTGTTCAGCGCACGATGCGTGCGTGAGTTGGTCAGTGAAGGTAGGGAGAGTGCAGCGCTTGGATGTCACTGGCTTCGATGCGGAATGCTGCTTCCCGCAGCTGAAATTGCGTGATCGATGGAAGTTGTGGGCTGTACTGTAATACTGGTCGTTGTCTTGTTCTTTATTCCTAACTGGTCTTCCCTGTCTTATACCACTCGTTAGCTGCATCTGTCTGGTTTAAAAGACTGTGTATTCAAACTTCAATTTTTCTTTTTTGAAAAAGTGTTTTTGAGTGTTTGAGAGTTTTTTGATAACATTACTCAAGCTCTCAGCATTATTTCTGGTTGAGTAAGGTTTAATCATGCTGGTGTCGATTTTTATTTATTAGAATATTAGCAAGAAACAAATACAAGTTTGATTATAAACATGGCCAGTGGATGCTCGTTTGAATTTATGTTTGGCGCTATTGCTTGTGCTACGTACCACTCACTGTTGCTGTGGTAAAGTAAGTTTCACTATTCTATAATATATTTGCAATAACGCTCTGATTATTACTGCACTGTTAAAGTAGGTATGCAGCATAAATAATAAATAACACAGCTAAAAATAATCGTGGAAGGTAAAATAATGAGGCCAGTGATTAGAAATCACAACCCCCTTGTGCATACCGTGTGCCAATAAACAAGAATAGTGTAACTTACCTCACCAATAGGAAAAGCAACTCACGCAATGGTATCAACCTTAACAGCCAGATTTTAAAATCAGGTTATTGTTTATTTCTCATTACTATTGCAACGTAAATATTGACACTGAGCAAAAAGAAATCCAAGTTTAATAAGTTGAAAGAAAATAGTTCTGAAGCTAGAGTTGTGTTATCGATCAAATTTTTATTTAAAGGGACAGCCTCTAGGATTTTACTGCATACAACTGTACTTACTGTATAACAAATCGTCTATACCCACACGTATTTGTTACCAGATACCTAATTTAATTGTTATAATTAATTACACATCATGCTACGAAATTTGAACGGCGCCATGACACCCGCGACCGTCGCTGCCCCAAAAAGTTGCGTATTTGACAATTCATTTTGCACGTTACAGACCGAGGGCTAATCACAAAAGTGCAATTATATTGATACCTAAATGCTATTTAACACCGAACGATATTCATTTTAGGGCAAATTTATCCATATTATAACTGAAATTATATGTCGTTTATAAGAGATTACAATCCTTTTGCTTTTAAATGAATAAATAAGAAACACCCTCGGTCTGTAGCCCTTGGCTGGAAAGTGGTTTTGCGCAACTTATCAGATCGTGCGCTTTGAGTGCGCGCCACCGCGTCGTTGTAATCAAAGCTGTAGTCGTTAGTTTTAAAACATTAAAAAAAAAAAGTATTTCTAATGGTGATTGAACCATGAAACTTTTTATGAAGCGTAATTATAACCTAAATTAGCTGAAAATAACCCTAGAACCTAGAGTAAACTCTCCCTTTAAATTTTGAGGGTTGGGTTCATTTTCACAGAAGTATGGAAAATGCGTTTACATGACCCAGACCACATGTGGTGCCCTCCTGTGCTTTTGATATTTTTTTGAAACCTTATTCTTGTCTGCCTTCCCAACAGCCATGGATGTAACAGATTATTTGAACTCGTAACGTTTTCATCTTTGGGTTAATATTGGCAACGTCTATCAAATAATAATTGTAATAATCTATCTAACAAGCATCTCTCTCTTTTTCTCTCTCTTTCGATCTGTGAGGTATGAGGCTCAATGCTATATATATCTCCAGTCAAGTAACGCTATATGTTCTAACAACTACTCATGTGGGCACGTGTAGATAACGGAGATTGCCATACAGCCTCAACAGCCCCAGCCCACCACTTTTGAGGAGGTTGAGTTAGGTGTGGACGTGATGGGGCTGAGGTTGAGCAGCCCCCGCCCCACCACGCAGATACAGCCACCTGCACCACAACGCACACATTGCAGAGTTGCCAGCAACCCTTACAACAGGAAACTGTACAACTGCCACAGACGGGGTAGAAAAATGATTTTCTTAGTGTGCATTTTTTTTTAGCTCGTGCATCTTTTTTAGGTTTCATACTTAAAGACAGATGTCATATATATATATGTATATATACATGTATAAAAAAATAGAAATTTTACATATCTAGGCACATCCAGTTCCCTCATCTGCCTTCACAATCGCCAACAAAAGCTCCTTTGTAACAATTAATTTAACTTGTAACTTGGACTTTTTTATATAATATGGCCAATGTCTATCCAAACAATTAATATATATATATATATATATAATAGGCCTAATTGTAGCATAATGGGTTGGTGGATGGATGCCTTCGTTTTCCATCTTGATGCAGGTAGCTCTCAATTTACGCAGAATAATTATGTTGTTGAGGGGCTTTAAGTTTTTAATAAAACAATACCTGATATTATACCAGTGGCAATTGGAGTTTAAATGTACGAGGAAATTATGGACTCAGAAAGGCATGGAAATTGGGTCATTATTATGTTTTGTCCTTGAAAATTCTTAACAAAATTTTGCAAATATCTATCTTGTCTAAGGGGCAATAAAATTGGCATTTTTCTAGTTCCAGATTATTAAACTCGCCAATCATGTCTCGCAAAAATAACCGTTCCCTTTCTTGTTATCTCTGCCCCAGTTCTTCATCTTATCAGCAGCTGCTGTGTCTATTTCATTGTTTCTCGATCTGTGAGGTATGAGGCTCAGTGCTATATATATATATCTCCAGTCAAGTAGAGCTATATGTTCTAACAACTACTCATGTGGGCATGTGTAGGTAATGGAGATTGACATACAGCCCCAGCAACCCCAGCCCGCCACCTTTGAGGAGGTGCAGTTTAAGGTGGATGTAATGGCGGGTGAGGTTGGTCCTGCCCCGCAGCCCCCGCCCACCACGCAGATACAGCCACCTGCGCCACAACCACACATTACAGAGTTGCAGCAATCCTTACAACAGGGACCTGTACAACTGCCACAGACGGAGGTAGAAGACGCGTTGCTTCCAGTGCACTTTATAGCTACAATTCCTTTTTTTGTATTTTTTACTTTTCCCATTTCTGTTCAATAAAACACAGTGACATTACTCAAACGTTAATACAAAATATATATGCAGGTTTTCATTTTGATGGAACTCTCGTATCGAAGTGAAAACCACAATTATTTATACTTTACGTTAGAGTAGTGTTATTTGGGAGAAGTATGGATTTTTTTACATTACCACACACATGTCATTCTACTTTGTACGGTTGACATTTTCCAGACCGTATTCATGTCGCCCTCATACTACCCACATAACAATTAATTTGAAACTTGTAACGTTGGCCTCATTTCCGTAATATTATTAACGTCCATCGAACAACAATGTGTCTAACAGGTTTTACTTTATTTGGAATAATGCGATGGAAAGATAGATACCTTCATGCTCAATATTTCAGTATTATTTTCTGGATAGATTTTCCATGCAATAGATGACCACGTGTCATTTTTAATCCTACTCCATCTCTCCATCTCATCGGCTGTGCTTCTGTCTGCTTGTCTATATGTCTATCACTCATTCTTTTGATCTGTGAGGTATGAGGCTCAGTGCTATATATATCTCCAGTCAAGTAACGCTATATGTTCTAACAACTACTCATGTGGGCATGTGTAGGTAATGGAGATTGACATACAGCCCCAGCAACCCCAGCCCGCCACCTTTGAGGAGGTGCAGTTTAAGGTGGATGTAATGGCGGGGGAGGTTGGTCCTGCCCCGCAGCCCCGCCCGCACCACTCAGATAGCAGCCACCGCGCCACAAAACCACACATTACAGAGTTGCACGCACCCTTACAACAGGACGCTGTACAACTGCCGCCGTCAGAGGTAGAAGACGAATTGCATGGAGTGCGTTTTTTAGCTGCCGCATCTTTTTATCATGTATTTTTGCGATGTATTGTGGATCGAATGAATGAACAAAAACCACAGCCATTGTTGTCAGCCAGCTTTTGCCAATGAGTAAGCTCATTTAAAGCAGGGTCATTGCACTGATGATTTTGACCCGGCTGTTTGAGCGACTGTTTTTATCACTATTAACCTTGAATGTCTAGATTTGTATTGCAGATTTGTATAGACATGCTCTTAATTAGGTGCTTGCGAGTGTTTGACACATTCTGTTGAAATGCGTGTTTCTTCAACGTTAGGCATATTGTAAACGTTGGGGAGTATAAATAAGTGCATGGCTTTTGCGTTCATTTGAATAACGACAGAAAGAGCATGGTTGCGCATCAAGTCTAGCATGAGTACTTGTGCACGAGTCATACTGGCCACAGTCTCTCGTAGCAGAAAGGCAAGGTAAGTGTTGGGTATATAACACCAACATCTATTTTCACATTTCATATCGTTATTTAGAGTATCCACTACTCAAGTTACCACTAGTACTTGTATTCAGCATACTTATATATAACCGGATGGTGCATTGCCATCTATAGTTTGACAAAATATAATCATTTCAAATCTGTACCTCTTTAATGTTCGTTACGTTAGTTAATGAGATTATGTACTCTTGACGTGTTACGCCTGTAACATATTATCAGGAGTAGATATTCCCTATTATCTACTCCTGATATTATAGATGAATAAAAATGCACAAAACATCCTTTGTGAAGGGCCAAAAATGACAAACAAAGACGAAAAGGCCAACGAAGACTCAACACGTACAATACGTGAATGAAAATATTCAAATCACTCGATAGAAGTTTGAAGTTGGACGAAACATCTTTTAGATAATATATTGTGCCATTCTACATTCTAACAACCATCATATATTAGAATTGATGTTCAATACATTGATACATTATTATTGTTAATATTATGTCCAGTCAGTTTTGAGTGTGGACATTAGATATTTTAGTGTTTGTTAGAGTGCTTTACATATTAATTAATAACACGTAATTCACATTGTCCATAGTCTATTGACATAGTTCATAATGTGTGGTGCCAAGTTTCCAGATGACATCGGGGTTGAATTGTCTGATTGCTAATTAATGAAGTCAAAGAAATGTCTATGACTTCAAACGAAAGCAGTTTTGTTTAAATTTGATAAATTTTGTGTTGATACTGGAAACGAGGTAAACGGGAGCTTGGGATAAATTTAAATTGGGCTCTTTCTATCTATCTTGTTAGTGTTCAATTAGGTATTCCTTAGTCACACTCATTTTATTCCTAGCTTATATATCGAAATTCTCTCTCACACTAATCGATTTTTCACATTTCTATTTACATCAATCTATTTACCTAGATGTTTATACTTTTAGATTAGAGATTTATATATGAGATTTCCTCGTGTAGTTACTCAGCCTATGTAACTTACAGCGAATGTTCTTTCAATGCTACGCTCGTAGTGTATAGCATCTTGCACTGTGGCAAACCTCTTGTACTCACATTTGCACACGTTTTCTGTGTTGCCGTTTAGGCTCCCTGGGCTCCTCAAGAGCAGGCGAGACCCCAAGCTCCATTACAGGTTCGTAGGCATGCTACTAATTTGCCCTAGTTCTAACTTTTTTTCTCTATTTTCTTTTTCTCTTAAAAGCTGCAGAAGTATTGTCAACAAAACAGCGTCTAAATTGATTTTAAAGCACTATTTTTACATTGAACTCAAATTTTTTTTTTTAGACCATCAGGCCCCAGGACCCCCCCCCCCCAATCCAAATTACTGGTTACGCCCTTGCCGTACTGTCTATTTCTAGTGTAGCATTTGTTATACGCATTTATATAACTAGGAATTCTGTTGTGTTGTAGATGCCACAGCAGTTCGAGGAGGTTCAATTCCAAGTAGGCTTCCAGGCAGAACCGATGGTGCTGCAACCTGCTGCACATCCACAGGTAATCAACACTACCTGCTCATAGTCAGATTTTATTAAGAGGTACTTCACTTCGTCTTGTACAAATCACTGAATATTTGAAATTGTAGTATATAAACAAGAGGTGAATGTAGTTCTAAGGTTACTGCTGTGTCATTCCAGGTGATCTCATAAGCCAAAATGTTGAATTTAACAAAATTACAATCTTGAGCTGATACTAGTTGGACATTTTACAATTTTCAAGTAGCGATAGAATGAATATAGAATTTGTGTTATTGGGATACAAAAGATCCCATTAAATTTGGCACATGTAGTTTTAGCAATGTTAAAATGCCTTTTGCTGGAAAAGAATTTGGGTGTGCGTTAAAGGTACAGAAATGGGCATTTTAGGTGTATTCATGGATTCAGTTTGGGCCAAAACCTTGGCCAACAGTGATTGATGGGGCCTGCTTGTGGAGCAGATTACAGTACACGTTTTTATATAGAGGTGTAGACAAATCGTTTACAGGTTCACACACACAGACCACTTACGGTGTGGAATGATTAGTAGTTGTTCCATGTTTGACAACCTCAGTGAAATAGGGTGCTCAAAGCGTGTACTCATAACGCCTAAAATGCCAAATTCTGCCCCTTTAATATGTTATATAGACGGGGTTTAGTTTGTCGGGTTTGTACATTCTTTTTGTTATCTAAACAGATGCAGACTGCTCCAGAGCCACAGAGGTCAGAGCTTGAAATTCAGAAGAAGCACGAGCCGGTGGAGTTCATGGTCAAGGTATGTATCTGTGATGTACATAAATTATACATGTTAATTAACAAGCGAACTAACTCATTAATATACTCATAACGATTAGTCGTCCATTAACACAGTAATACATAGAAAGAAGGGACAGTAGCAACATAATTACTGTTGTGTACAGGTTGATAGCGAACCTCCCATGGTAGACGAACCGATTTCACAAACGCAGGTACAGCAGGTGAAGGCTGAGCCCATCACCCCGCAGACTCCGTTTGCTCCGCAACAGGTCAGTTTCGCGTTGTGCGCCTAAACTCAGCTACCCCCCAGTCCCAGCACGCATGGCTGTCGTAGAGCAGTAAACTGCGATAGGCTGGTGCTGGCGGTGGGTGGTTGGTTCAGCGCACGATGCGTGCGTGAGTTGGTCAGTGAAGGTAGGGAGAGTGCAGCGCTTGGATGTCACTGGCTTCGATGCGGAATGCTGCTTTCCCAGCTGAAATTGCGTGATCGATGGGAAGTTGTGGGCTGTACTGTAGTACTGTCGTTGTCTTGTTCTTTATTCCTAACTGGTCTTACCTGTCTTATACCACTCGTTAGCTGCATCTGTCTGGTTTAAAAGACTGTATTCAAACTGAATTTTTCTTTTTTGAAAAAGTGTTTTTGAGTGTTTGAGAGTTTTTTGATAACATTACTCAAGCTCTCAGCATTATTTCTGGTTGAGTAATGGTTTAATCATGCTGGTGTCGATTTTTACTGTTAGAATATTAGCAAGAAACAAATACAAGTTTGATTATAAACATGGCCAGTGGGTGCTCGTTTGAATTTATGTTTGGCGCTATTGCTTGTGCTACGTACCACTCACTGTTGCTGTGGTAAAGTAAGTTTCACTATTCTATAATACATTTGCAATAACGCTCTGATTATTACTGCACTGTTAAAGTAGGTATGCAGCATAAATAATAAATAACACAACTAAAAATAACCGTGGAAGGTAAAATAATGAGGCCAGTGATTAGAAATCAAAACCCCTTGTGCATACCGTGTGCCAATAAACAAGAATAGTGTAACTTACCTCACCAATAGGAAAAGCAACTCACGCAATGGTATCAACCTTAACAGCCAGATTTTAAAATCAGGTTATTGTTTATTTCTCATTACTATTGCAACGTAAACATTGACACTTAGCAAAAATAAATCCAAGTTTAATAAGTTGAAAGAAAATAGTTCTGAAGCTAGAGTTGTGTTATCGATCAAATTTTTATTTAAAGGGACAGCCTCTAGGATTTTAACATGCCATACAACTGTACTTACTGTATAACAAATCGTCTATACCCACACGTATTTGTTACCAGATACCTAATTTAATTGTTATAATTAATTACACATCAATGCTACGAAATTTGAACGGCGCCATGACACCCGCGACCGTGCTGCCCCCCAAAAGTTGCGTATTTGACAATTCATTTTGCACGTTACAGACGAGGGCTAATCACAAAAGTGCAATTATATTGATACCTAAATGCTATTTAACCGAACGATATTCATTTTAGGGCAAATTTATCCATATTATAACTGAAATTATATGTCGTTTATAAGATTACAATCCTTTTGCTTTTAAATGAATAAATAAGAACACCCTCGGTCTGTAGCCCTTGGCTGGAAAGTGGTTTTGCGCACTTATCAGATCGTGCGCTTTGAGTGGCGCCACCGTCGTTGTAATCAAACTGTAGTCGTTAGTTTTAAAACAAAAAAAAAAGTATTTCTAATGGTGATTGAACATGAAACTTTTTATGAAGCGTATTATAACCTAAATTAGCTGAAAATAAACCCTAGAACCTAGAGTAAACTCCCTTTAAATTTTGAGGGTTGGGTTCATTTTCACAGAAGTATGGAAAATGCGTTTACATGACCAGACACATGTGGTGCCCTCCTGTGCTTTTGATATTTTTTGAAACCTTATTCTTGTCTGCCTTCCCAACAGCCATGGATGTAAACAGATTATTTGAACTCTAACGTTTTCATCTTTGGGTTAATATTGGCAACGTCTATCAAATAATAATTGTAATAATCTATCTAACAAGCATCTCTCTCTTTTTCTCTCTTTCGATCTGTGTAGGTATGAGGCTCAATGCTATATATATCTCCAGTCAAGTAACGCTATATGTTCTAACAACTACTCATGTGGGAACGTGTAGATAACGGAGATTGGCCATACAGCCTCAACAGCCCCAGCCCACCACTTTTGAGGAGGTTGAGTTAGGGTGGACGTGATGGGGCTGAGTTGAGCAGCCTCCGCCCACCACGCAGATACAGCCACCTGCGCCACAACCACACATTGCAGAGTTGCAGCAACCCTTACAACAGGAAACTGTACAACTGCCACAGACGGAGGTAGAAAATGATTTTCTTAGTGTGCATTTTTTTTTTAGCTCGTGCATCTTTTTTAGGTTTCATACTTAAGACAGATGTCATATATATATATGTATATATACATGTATAAAAAAAATAGAAATTTTACATATCTAGGCACATCAGGTTCCCTCATCTGCCTTCACAATCGCCACAAAAGCTCCTTGTAACAATTAATTTTAACTTGTAACTTGACTTTTTATTATAATATGGCCAATGTCTATCCAACAATAATATAATAATAATATATATATATCTATATATAATAGGCCTAATTGTAGCATAATGGGTTGGTGGGATGGATGCTTTCGTTTTTCATCTTGATGCAGGTAGCTCTCAATTTACGCAATAATTATGTTGTTGAGGGGCTTTAAGTTTTTTAATAAAACAATACCTGATATTATACCAGTGGAAATGCAGTTTAAATGTACGAGGAAATTATGGACTCAGAAGGCATGGAAAGGCTGAAAATTATTATTATGTTTTGTCCTTGAAATTTCTTAACAAAAATTTTGACAAATATCTATCTTGTCTAAGGGGCAATAAAATTGGCATTTTTCTAGTTCCCAGAATTATTAAACTCGCAATCATGTCTCGCAAAAATTAACCGTTCCCTTTCTTGTTATCTCTGCCCCAGTTTCTTCATCTTATCAGCAGCTGCTGTGTCTATTTCATGTTTTCTCGATCTGTGAGGTATGAGGCTCAGTGCATATATATATATATATATATCTCATCAAGTAGAGCTATATGTTCTAACAACTACTCATGTGGGCATGTGTAGGTAATGGAGATTGACATACAGCCCCGCAGCAACCCCAGCCGCCACCTTTGAGGAGGTGCAGTTTAAGGTGGATGTTATGGCGGGTGAGGTTGGTCCTGCCCGCAGCCCCCGCCACCACGCAGATACAGCCACCTGCGCCACAACCACACATTACAGAGTTGCAGCAATCCTTACAACAGGGACTTGTACAACTGCCACAGACGGAGGTAGAAGACGCGTTGCTTCCAGTGCACTTTATAGGCTACAATTCCTTTTTTTGTATTTTTTACTTTTCCATTTCTGTTCAATAAAACACAGTGACATTACTCAAACGTTAATACAAAATATATATGCAGGTTTTTCATTTTGATGGAACTCTTCGTATCGAAGTGAAAACCACAATTATTTATACTTTACGTTAGAGTAGTGTTATTTGGGAGAAGCTATGGATTTTTTTTACATTACCACACACATGTCATTCTACTTTGTACGGTTGACATTTTCCAGACCGTATTCATGTCCGCCCTCACCCATAACAACTACCGCACTACCCACATAACAATTAATTTGAAACTTGTAACGTTGGCCTCATTTCCGTAATATTATTAACGTCCATCGAACAACAATGTGTCATAACAGGTTTTACTTTATTTGGAATAATGCGATGGAAAGATAAGATTTCATGCTCAATATTTCAGTATTATTTTCTGGATAAATTTTCCATGCAATAGATGACCACGTGTCATTATTTAATCCTACTTCGCATCTCTCCATCTCATCGGGCTGTTCTTCTGTCTGCTTGTCTATCGTCTATTCACTCATTCTTTTGATCTGTGAGGTATTGAGGCTCAGTGCTATATATATCTCCAGTCAAATAATCGCTATATGTTCTAACAACTACTCATGTGGGCATGTGTAGGTAATGGAGATTGACATACAGCCCAGCAACCCCAGTCCGCCACCTTTGAGGAGGTGCAGTTTAAGGTGGATGTAATTGGCAGCGGGGGGAGGTTGTCCTGCCCGCAGCCCCCGCCCACCTCGCAGATACAGCCACCTGCGCCACAACCACACATTACAGAGTTGCAGCAACCCTTACAACAGGGACCTGTACAACTGCCGCCGTCAGAGGTAGAAGACGAATTGCATGGAGTGCGTTTTTTAGCTGCCGCATCTTTTTATCATGTATTTCTTGGCGATGTATTGTGGATCGACTGAATGAACAAAAACCACAGCCATTGTTGTCAGCCAGCTTTTGCCAATGAGTAAGCTCATTTAAAGCAGGGTCATTGCACTGATGATTTTGACCCGGCTGTTTGAGCGACTGTTTTTATCACTATTAACCTTGTATGTCTAGATTTTGTATTGCAGATTTGTATAGACATGCTCTTAATTAGGTGGCTTGCGAGTGTTTGACACATTCTGTTGAAATGCGTGTTTCTTCAACGTTAGGCATTTGTAAACGTTGGGGAGTATAAATAAGTGCATGGCTTTTGTCGTTCATTTGAATAACGACAGAAAGAGCATGGTTGCGCCATCAAGTCTAGCATGAGTACTGTTGCACGTGAGTCATACTGGCCAGCAGTTCTCTTCGTAGCAGAAAGGACAAGGTAAGTGTTGGTATATAACACAACATCTATTTTCACATTTCATATCGTTATTTAGAGTATCCATTACTCAAGTTACCAAGCTAGTACTTGTATCAGCATACTTATATATAACGCGGATTTGGTGCATTGCCATCTATAGTTTTGACAAAATATAATCATTCAAATCTGTACCTCTAATGTCGTTACGGTTATGTTAATGAGATTATGTACTCTTGGCGTGTTACGCACTGTAAACATATTATCAGGAGTAGATATTCCCTCATTATCTACTTCCTGAATATGTATTAGATGAAATAAAAATGCACAAAACTCCTTTGTGAAGGGGCCAAAAATGACAAAACAAACAGACGAAAGGCCAAGCGAAGAGCTCCAACACGTACAATACGTGATATGAAAATATTCGAATCACTCGATAGAAGTTTGAGTTGGCGAAACAATCTTTTAGATAATATATCTGTGGCCTATTCTACATTTCTAACAACCATTCATATATTAAGATTCATTGATGTTCAATACATATGATATATTCATTATTGTTAATATTATGTCACAGTCAGTTTTGAGTGTTGGACATTAGATATTTTAGTGTTTGTTAGAGTGCTTTGACATATTAATTTTAATACACGTAATTCACATTCGTGACGCTATAAGTCTATTGACATAGTTCATTAATGTGTGTTGCGCAAGTTTTGCCAGATGACATCGGGTGTTGGAATTGGTTCTGATGCTATTAATGAGTAAAGAAATGTCCTATGACTTCAAACGAAAGCAGGTTTTGTTTAATTTGAATAAATTTGTGTGTTGATGCTTGAAACGAGGTTTTTTTTTTAAACGGAGGCTTGGATAAATTTAAATTGGCTCTTTCTATCTATCTTGTTAGTGTTTCAATTAAGGTATTCCTAGCTCACACTCATTTTTTATTCCTAGCTTATATATCGAAATTCTCTCTGCACACTAATCTATTTCACATTTCTATTTACATCAATCTATATTACCTTAGATGTTTATATACTTTTTAGATTAGGATTTTATATTTTGGAAAAAAGATTCTCCTCAGTGTAGTTACTCAGCCTATGTAACTTTACAGCGAATGTTCCTTTTCATTGCTACGCTCAGTAGTTGTAATAGCATCTTTGCACTGTGGCAAACCTCTTGTACTCACAATTTGCAGCACGTTATTCTGTGTGCGTTGTTAGCTCCCTGGGGCTCCTCAAGAGCAGGCGAGACCCGCAAGCTCCATTACAGGTTTCGTAGGCAATGCTACTAATTTGCCCTAGTTCTATTCGACCATGCGGTTCATCCAGGTTGCTTGATATACGAACTCCATTTGATTATATAGGATATATATATATATATTATATATATATACATATGATTATATATATTATATGTAATATAATATTATTGTTTATTATATTACAATATAGTAATTTTTATTGTTTGATGAGATAAACCACATCATGAGGTTAAGAGAAAAATTGCAGTCTAGCCAGAACACCAACCTTTACTGTTATCGGTGATATTGGAGATTTATGCAACCTGAATGAAACCACATTTCCATTTATTGTAATTTAGTTTAACATTGATTTGTTTTCTCGTCTTGTGTTCGTCCTCATCATCTTCCACAGTCCATAGTTAATATGTACTGTCTTGTCAGCATGGACTCAATGCTGCCCACCGTGTATTATCTATTTCCATTATTGTTAACTCCTGCCACTGGGCAGCTCTTCTAAACTCCTAATGTGCTCTTGGCATCACCCGTCTCTCAGAATTGTCCACATCATCATCATCTACCTCTCATATTGTGTTTTTCTCACATCTTTACTCACCTTTTCAACGTCCACTGATCCAAGTCCGTTTTAATGCCTGAAAGTGTTTTAGTGAAATTGTGTAGTCAACGTGTAGCATGGCAGCATGGTCTATTAGTGTTTTAAAAGTAATCACATATATATATATAAAGTGTAATGATAGTAGTAGTAGATGATGTATATAGTAAAACTGACTATTTATGCTATTAGTAAAGACCGAGTTGTCAGTCAGGAGCCACATACAGTTGCTTTAAAAATCAGATGTCAGCATTTCTCGTGCCCGAAGTAGAGTCTAGGTGGATTCATGCTAGTAGAGGTATTAGTTATTCAGATCGAATACAATGTCATCAAAGGTACTTTGACGTACGCCAAACAAAACGCACACACAAACAAATCCCAACTCGATTATCAGCACAGTGCTGCAATCGAGTGAAGACCTTTTGCAAAGTGACTTCGGAGGGTCTTGTACGCATGTTGTCTGTTTGTCGAGCAGAGAGAGGAGCCCACGGAGTCGATGCAGCAGCCCTTGCCGCAGGCAGGCTTCTTCACTCATCAGGTAAGCAGGTTCACAGCTGTGCTAGTATTAGAGTTGAGCTCCTAGTTCACAGCTATACTAGTATTGTAGTTGAGCTCCTAGTTCACAGCTGTGCTAGTATTAGAGTTGAGCTCCTAGTTCGCAGCTATACTAGTTTCGTAGCCGACCTTTTATCTGTAGGTGGTGATGAGTTTTCCTGTGTCCCAGTTTCAAATGTCGTTGCATAATGTTTAACATTATCATTAACATTAACGCATGAAGTAATTTTCTAGTTTTTGTGGGTACCTAGACTGGCTATTTTGTAGATTCGTGCGTCGAGGTTTCTTGCGGTTTGGTTTTTACATTTGCCAGCCTTCTTTCGGAGCGTTCTTACATAATTCTTTTTTAATGTCCAGACAACCATGCAGGCCGATTTGGAGGATCAGGTGCAGCGACAGCCAATGCCGTCTATGCAACGGCAACAGCTTCCCCAAGCTGGCATAACTTCTACTGTACAGGTGCGTTTCCGAGGAATTGAGCATGTGAATAGACTGATAAGTAAACGTAGTCTACTAAACTAGTGCAGAAACCATTTTTCTAACACGTGCTGTTGTTAGTTTGGTTGGAATAATAATGTTCGCACAACTGAATCGGCTACAGGTACCAATAAATATAATTGATATTCATGGGAAAAGACTATTATTCAACTTGAATTCACCGCAGTAGAGCGTTTTGTGCACTCACGACATACATATCACGCGGTGTCACGTGTCATATCTTCTCCTTCGGCTGCAGATACCGCTCAGGGGCGCTGTAGTCACAGAGGTAGAGACCTCTGGTGACGAGTATCGGACGCAGTACGACGAGGAGGTGTATAGGCAGCAGCATCACAGCCACGTGACGGAAGACCGCACGGTGCACGTCACCGAGGAGTACGAGATCGTCGTGAAGCCACAGCGCCCCCTTGCTGTCGGCGCCACGCAGGCGCACGAGCCGGCGGTGCCGCGAACGGGCTACATCACGAGCGGGTACACGACCGAGACGGCTCGCGTCGAGGAGCCGGGAGAGATGCGGCCGGCGCCGCAGAAGTACAGGCAGCAGTTGCCGCAGGCCGCCGTCAAGGCGACGACCAAGGTTCGTTCGCACGTGCGCGCGCCTCTGTGATTTGACTTGTTTTTTTTTTACGCACTTGAACGCTTTTCGTTTTTCCCGGTGAAATGTCGCGTACCTCCGGTTTTATACCTTGTTTTTGACTGCGTGAAAATTTTCTTACTTGACGGTGAAACTTCATTCAGATTTTAATTATTTTTTTTTTATCTACGTTATCATATTTCTGGTTTACGGCAAAAACCGTATCACAAACTCTGCCAGGTCACAAGTATCTCAATTCTCAGATGCTATTGGGTTGGTTTAATATTAAATTATTAATAATTCTTCTGGTATCAAAATTTTTAACCCAATTTTATAATTTGATTGTGGTACTTACTAATGTTGGACATTGCTATATGAATCAATTGTAGTTGTCCCGTTTACCTGTTTCTCAATGTTTGCATAGAGATTTAAATACAAGATATGATGGTGTACGAAGTATGACTTATGGGATACAAAATAGGAGGTATCAGACATGGGATATAAACCAAGATGATGAGATATTAAACATGGGCTTTGAGACACGACATGCGAGATATGATATACAATATGAGATGTGATATGAGATAAGGCAGATGACACGTAAGATATGTAGGTATGATACGAGATATGAATATGAGATATAAAATATATACGATATATATACGATACGTACATGTATGGTATACATATATGTACGATACGTATACAATGTACGAGATACGACACTCACTAGGGTACCGCGTAAAGCTGTGGGTTCAGACGCAAATACCGGACGTTCTTCCTGTCGCCGCAGATATGATATACAATACGAGATGTGATATAAGATAAGTCAGATGACACATAAGATATGTAGGTATGATACGAGATACAAATATACTTACAAAATTAACGTGTAAAGCTCTGTGTTCATACCGGACGTTCGTCTCATCGCTGCAGGTTCCCGACCGGGGCATCTACTCCGAGCCCGAGAGCGAGGGTGAGGAGGAGGACGTCGCCGACTATATGCACACGAGTAAGAGGAAGCGGCACTACGACGAGGAGATACACCGGGACGAGCATCACAAGGTGACGACGGAGGAGCGCGAGACGCACGTCAAGGAGGAGTACGAGATCATCATCAAGCCTCAGCCCCGCGAGGCACCGCAGCCGCAGCCCGAGGCCATCGAGGCGCCGGAGATGTACCGGCAGCCGCTGCCGCAGGCCGGCATCGTCACAGCGGGGTCGTCACCGCAGACGGCGCGCCGCATGTCCCCGGCCGAGGAGCGGCCGCCGGCGAAGAAGTTCAGACAGCCTTTACCTCAGGCCGGCGTGTTGGGACAGACCAAGGTAAGTGAGCGGTCGGTGCATGAATTGTTCGTTTTGTGGTTGTTCCTCTCCCCTTGCCCCTGCGTGCGTGCGTGCGTGCGTGCGTGTGTTAGTTAAGACTTTCATGAATTAACGTTTAACGTTGTCGTCAACCGCGAGGAGACGTAACCTCAAGTTATTTGTGCCGTGCCTTCGTTAATCTTATAGAACGTTTTTTGTTTATTTGTTAAAGAGTTCTCGTTTATTTTAGCTGTGTAATCTTTTCTGCTGGCTACTTCTTCGTGAATTTAACTATAACAATACTGAAACATTCCTAATAAGATATCTGCTGCTTTCGTGTAATATCTTTGTCATCTGTTCCATGTTGTCTGTTCCTATTCACTTGTGTAAAATTATTTTGTATTCTTCTCTTTAGTTGTGTTCACTGCACATTCTGTTTTGTGTTTACTATTCGTTTGACCACTCTTATCACGTAGGTCCCTCAACACGGAGTAGTATCCGAGGTTGAAAGCGACCAGGAAGATATGTACAGTGAAAATGAGAGACTAATCAGTGATTTAGAAGAAACGTTTCGCACAGAGCACCATAAGGTTTCGACGGAAGAGCACGAGAGGAGAATCAGGGAGGAGTACGAGGTGCTGGTTAGAGGCACGCCTCTCCAGCCCATCGAAGCTGCTGAGACGCGCGAACGAACCGTACCAGAACGCGGCATCGTCACCCCGGCGCGGCCAACCCACCAGCCGGAGGTCGAAGAAGTAGGCGAGCTCCACCTCGCGCCACAGAAGCACAGGCAGCAGCTGCCGCAGGCGGGCATCATGGGGAAGACGAAGGTTCCCTCGCAGGGCCACCTCTCAGAACCGGAAAGCGAACCAGAAGAGGAGTTCCTCGAGCCGGAACGTACGACAACCGTCGACGAGCTGCACCGCAGCGAACACCACAAGAAGACGTTCGAGGAACATGAGAAGAGGTTCCGCGAAGAGCTGGAGGTTGTTCACCGGCCCGCCGAACCGCACGACGCTCCCGCGCCACACAAGCAGCCCTTCCCGCAGACGGCGACTCTCGCTGCCGCCCCGACCCCGCTTGCTGCGCGAGAGGAGGAGCTCGGGGTCCTCCACCGTGTGCCGGAGAAGCACAGGCAACAGCTGCCACAGGCAGGCATCATGGGAAAGACGAAGGTTCCCTCGCAGGGACACTTATCGGAACCGGAAAGCGAACCGGAAGAGGAGTTCCTCGAGCCGGAACGTACAACGACCGTCGATGAGTTGCACCGCAGCGAACACCACAAGAAGACGTTCGAGGAACACGAGAGGAGGTTCCGCGAAGAGCTGGAGGTTGTTCACCGGCCCGCCGAACCGCACGACGCGCCCGCGCCGCACAAGCAGCCCTTCCCACAGACAGCGACGCTCGCTCCCGCCCCGACTCCGCTCGCCGCGCGAGAGGAGGAGCCCGGGGTTCTCCACCGCGCGCCGGAGAAGCAGCGGCAGCAGCTGCCGCAGGCGGGCATCATGGGGAAGACGAAGGTTCCCTCACAGGGACATCTCTCGGAACCGGAGAGCGAACCGGAGGAGGAGGACGGGCTCGAGGAGCGGAGGAGGCAGCTCGAGGAGGAACGCACGGTGCTGCATGAGGAGATACGCCACACGGAGGAGCGCAGGCGGCTCACCGAGCAGGAGGAGCGGCTCGTCGTCACGGTGACGGAGGAGCCGGAGGAGGCGAGGGTTCGCGGCGCGCCAAGGCAGGAGACGACACTCGTCGTGAAGCCCATCCAGGAGGTGCAGCGAGAGCCGCATCCCGAGCCGCAGCCGGCACCGCAGCGCTATATGCAGCAGCTTCCGCAGGCCGGCGTCATGACGACGACGAAGACGCCGGAACGCGGCGTGACAACTGAACCGGAACTGGAGCCGGAACCGGAATCGGACCAGTTCGAGGAGTACATGGCCGACGTGATCTTCTCAGGCGAGCCGTCCGACACAGAGGAGGTGCGCCACGTGGAGGAACACAAGGTCTTCACGGAGACGCGCGACGTTCGCATGAGCGAGATATACGATACAGTGGAGGCCGTCAGAGATCAACCGGCGCCGCAGGAGCACGTTACTCAGCTCCCCCAGTCCGGCGTCCTCAAACGGGGCCAGCAGCCCCAGCAGGTCGAGCTGCAGCCAGTAGGGGAGCATCAGCCGGCGCCGCAGAGCCGGCAACAGCAGCTGCCGCAGGCTGGCATCATGGCAAAGACCCAGGTTAGGGGGATGTCAAGCGTTTTTTGCTTGGATTTGGGCGTGGCAGTGGTCGGGCTTTACGATTTTGCGATCGTGCGGAAGTGGAGGTCTTCCTTGGCATGTAAAGCTCTTTCGTAGTGCAGTTAAAGAGATAGAGATGCATTTGAGTGAAAGTTTTGCCGCTGCCACTTTTCCAAATACAGAGTACTAAAACAGCTTGGCATTCTATCTTTACAAAAGTGGCCGCTTTTAGAATTACAAACTCAGATATGTTCGAGTTTGGAGATGAACATCAGAGCAGCATGAGTGAGCGAACATCATCTATTACACATAGGATGGAATCAGCTTGCCTGCCAGTCACATTGTTAGCTTTTTTAGTATTATAGATTTTCATCACTAGTTACAGCTATTTCATCATCTTGTTACAGAGCATGTGTTAAAACTTTCATCTACTATCTCTCTTTCTTTCTCTTCGTTTAGATTAGCATAACCATTTAGGTTCCTCTGTTACATACTTGCATGACCATGATTTGTTAATTTCCTGATCAACAGTGACTGCTGTCTTCTTGTGTTACTATATAATTAAGGATTTTCTAAGGAACGGATAACCTTCCATCCTAAGTAAATGTGATAGCATTTCTATTTCACCAATGGTCAGAATTATGAACTGAACACTACGTTTGGTTTACTGATTCAACCACAATACTGCAATTTCACAGACGTTTTCTCTTTCCTAATACGCTGGTTTGCCTGGCAGATATTATGAGCTGCCACTATAATAGACACTATATATATCTACCTCTATAATAGTTCCTATACGAACATCCTGTTTACTATGCGATGACTTTCAGGTGCCACAGATTGGCCACCTATCTGAGCCGGAAAGCGAACTGGAGGACATCGAAGAGATATACAGGACAGAGCACCACAAGAAGACGTTGGAGGAACACGAGCGGAGGATCAGGGAAGAGTACGAGGAAGTGCTGAAGCCGGCGCCGGAGCCTCTCCCCGAGCCGCAGGAAGCTCCCATCCGCAGGCAGCCTCTCCCTCAGGCCGCCGTCGTCGCGCACGCGCAGCCCGTCTCCGAGCCGGAGGTGCTCGCCCCGGGCGAGCTGCAGCCGGCGCCGCAGACCTACATGCAGCAGCTGCCTCGCGCCGGATTCGTCAGCCAGACGAAGACGCCAGAGAGGGGCTACCTCTCCGAGCCGGAGAGCGAGCCGGAGGACGAACTCACGGAGGAGGTGTACCGCAGCGAGCACCACAAGCTGACGACGGAGGAGCATGAGAGGAGGGTCAGGGAAGAGCACGAGGAAGTGCACAAGCCCGTGCCGATGGCGCCCCCTCTCGAGCGGCGCCGCTCGCTGCCGCAGGTCGCCGTCGTGCAGCGCGCTGAGCCGGAGAAGGCTGAGGTGGAGCCGCAGCCGGAGGCTCTCGCGCCACCACAGCGCCAGCGACACCCGCTGCCTCAGGCCGGCATCGTCACGAAGACGCAGATGCCGCAGCACGGCCATCTCGCCGAACCAGAGCCGGAGTCCGAACCGGAACCGGAGTACGTCGTCGAGCCGGTGACGGAGACGAGGAGGTACTTCGAGGACGTGCGCACGGAGGAGGAGCACAGGAGAGTGACGGAGGAGATCGATGTCAAGGTCACGAAGGTCGTCGAGGAGCCGCCGGCGCCCGTGTCTATCAAGCCAGCACCGGAGGTGCCGACAATAATCGCTGTGGTTGAGGTAAATGCAAGTCTAGTTGAGATATCGCGTGTCGAACGCGAAGTGTGGCAATACGAAATGTTTCGGGATAATTAAAATGTTGTGTTTTAAAATAAAATAAAAATAATATTTTTAAATAATATAATTTTAAGTAATTTAAACTAATAATTGTAAATATTCGCATCATTTGTAAAAAAGTCGACGTTTCCTGGTCAATTTGCAGATTCCGCGAGCGCCGTCGCCTGGAGAACACCACCTCCCACCACAGAAACAAGTGCATCAGCTTCCGCAAGCAGGGTTTATGTCAAAGACGCAGACCTTTCAGCGCAGCGAATGGGGGGAAACGGAACCAGAGCCAGAGCCCGAGCCGGAGTACATCATTGAGGTGGCCCCGCCCAAGCCTCCGTCCGTTACCAAAAGGATCTTCGAAGATATCAGGACGGAAGAGGAACATAAGAAGTTCACGGAAGAACATGATATAAGAGTGAGACAGGTCGTGGAAGAACCGGAACCTCTTGCCTTGCCACCGGTCCAGGTTGCGCCAGCCCCAGAGCCAGTGCGTGCACCTTCACCTGGTGAACATCACCCAGCACCACAGAAACAAGTACACCAGCTTCCACAAGCTGGCTTCATGTCAAAGACTCAGACTCCACAGAGAAGTCAATGGAAGAGCCTGAACCAGAGCTGAACCTGAACAGAACCCGAAACCATTGGTGTTAGAAATTGCAGAACGCCCTCAGCCACCGAACCGGGAACCTGTTCAACAGGTCAGAAGGATCTTTGAAGATATCAGTACGGAAGAGGAACACAAGAAGTTCACGGAGGAACACGATGTGAGAGTGAGACAGGTAGTGGAAGAGGCGGAACCTCTTGCCCTGCCACCGTGTCCACGGTTGCGCGCCAGTCCAGAGCCAGTGCCGTGCACCTTCACCTGGTGAACATCACCAGCCGCAAGCAGAAACAAGGTCACACGAGCTTCCACAAGCTGGCTTCATGCAAAGACTCAAACACCTCAGAGAAGTCAGTGGGAAGAGCTGAACCAGAGCCTGAAACCTGAACCAGAACCCGAACCATTGGTATTGGAGATTGCTGAGAGGCCTCAACCACGACCAGAGCCCGTTCAACAGGTGAGAAGGATCTTTGAAGATATCAGGACAGAAGAGGAACACAAGAAGTTCACAGAGAACATGATTACAGAGTGAGACAGTCGTGGAGAGAGGCAGAGGCCTGTTGCGTTTGCCAGCAGTTGAGTAGCACCAGGCACCCCACCACAAGCTCCCATCACCAGCTGAAAGCACCAAGCCCACGTAAAACAGTTAATGCAGCTACCGGCGAGCAGAATTTCCTGTCAGCAGACACAGAACCACAGCGCGGTGCTGGTCCGAACGCAGAATAGAACGCAAGAACCTGAACCAGCAACCTGGAGCCACTTGGTGTAGAATTTCAGAACGCCCCCTCAGGCACCGACCGGAACCTGTTACAACAGGTCAGACAGGATTCTATTGAAGATATAGACAATCAGAAAGAAGGAACACAAGAAGTTCACTGAGGAACATGATATAAGAGTGAGACAGGTCGTGGAAGAGCCGGAACCTGTTGCATATGCACCTATCCAGGTAGCACCAGCACCCCAACCAAGAGCTCCCTCACCAGCTGAACAGCACCAAGCCCCACGTAAGAAAGTTCATCAGCTACCGCAGGCAGGATTCATGTCACAGACACAGAAACCACAGCGCGGTGCCTGGTCCGAACCAGAAGATGAACCAGAACCTGAACCAGAACCTGAGCCATTGGTGCTAGAAATTTCAGAACGCCCTCAGCCACGACCGGAACCTGTTCAACAGGTCAGAAGGATCTTTGAAGATATCAGGACAGAAGAGGAACACAAGAAGTTCACCGAGGAACATGATATAAGAGTGAGACAGGTTGTGGAAGAGCCGGAACCTGTTGCATATGCACCTATCCAGGTAGCCCCAGCACCCCAACCAAGACCACCCTCACCAGCTGAACAACACCAAGCCCCACGTCAGAAAGTTCATCAGCTACCGCAGGCAGGATTCATTCAAGTCACAGGACACAGAAACCACAGCGCGGTGCCTGGTCCGAACCAGAAGATGAACCAGAACCTGAACCAGAACCTGAGCCATTGGTATTGGAGATCGCTGAGAGGCCTCAGCCTAGACCAGAACCAGTTCAACAGATCAGAAGGATCTTTGAAGATATCAGGACAGAAGAGGACACAAGAAGTTCACTGAGGAACATGATATCCGAGTTAGAAAGGTCATTGAGGAACCCGAATCTATTGCATATGCACCTATCCAGGTAGCCCCAGCACCCCAACCAAGAGCTCCATCACCAGCTGAACAACACCAAGCCCCACGTCAGAAAGTTCATCAGTTACCGCAGGCAGGATTCATGTCACAGACACAGAAACCTCAGCGAAGTCAATGGGAAGAGCCTGAACCAGAGCCTGAACCTGAACCAAAACCGGAACCATTGGTGTTAGAAAATTGCGGAACGCCCTCAGCCACGACCAGAACCTGTTAAGTCGATGCCTATCACTGTTAAAAAGTTCTTTGAGGACATCCGTACCGAGGAGGAGCACAAGAAGTTCTCCGATGTCTCAGAGATAAAGGTGACGAAGCTGTTTGAGGAAATGCCTTGGCGCACTCAGTTTGACCTTCCTCAACAGGAACCATCCGGAATCATCAATATTCCCGTAAGTAAAGATTCTTCCCCAGTCTACGTTAAGTTTTTTGACAAAATTTTCTTATGACAAAGTGATTATCTCGAAAAACTTGCTGACGCTCGATCGCATAAAAATAATGCCAACTGCTATTTTTGTTCTTCCATTTAGATTCAGGTGACTTTCGCAGCCACCAGCACAGGCGAAGCCGCCACCCAGCAGACGCGTGCATCAACTGCCTCAGTCTGGTTTCATGTCGAAGACGTCTGCGCTTCAGCGCGGCTACTGGTCAGAACCTGAAGAGACTTGGTGACGCCCCGCTACTACGTGGAGCATCCTCCCTCAGACTACTACAGTGACACCGAGGTCCGCCAGTCTCCCGTCGAAAAGCGAAAGAAGATCTTCGAGACATAAGAACTGAAGAGGACACAAGAAGTTTACCGAGGAGCACGACATTAAAAGTGCGGAAGATCTTCGAAGACGGCGCACCAGCGTGGGCACCTGTAAAGGTACGGCGCTATTTTTCAGTCCTTAATTTAAATAATTAAAAATAAAAGCTTATTAATTAAAAATTAAATTCTTAAACTTAATATACAATCGACTACAGTGTAGCCCCGTTATAACGCGATGGTTGGGGTCCATAAAATGTCCTCGCGAAAAAAGCAGGGTTGCGCTAAATAGGGGATATATATACGTGGCCATGTAAGAGCAAAAAAGGGGGTCCAACGACTCTTTACGTTATATCTGAATTTGCGTTAAATCGGGGCGCGTAAAATCGGGGTTCCACTGTATTTTAAACTAAGCGTTTTGCGGATATCCTTCGTATGTGTACGCAGTTGTGCTCTACCGCACAAATGCTTGCTGAAGTACCAATCCTACCATCTGTCCCTCAGGCACCCGACAGTGTTTTGCCGAGGCCAGAACCTCAGCCGCTGACAAAGACGCGTGTGCATCAGCTGCCTCAGGCTGGCTTCATGTCGAAGACCAGCGTGCCGCAGCGTGGCTACTGGTCGGAGCCCGAGGAAGATTCCGAGCCAGAACCCGCGCGCAAACTCACGTCCCTGCGCGTGATCCCGGCCCATCCCGCATCGGTACAATCCGAGCCGGGGGGTGGCGTCGAGGCGCGGCGAAGCATCTTTGAAAATATCACGACCGAAGAGCACCACAAGAAGTTTACGGAAGATTACGACATCAAATACAAACAGGTATGCGTCGTCAGTTAGGAGCTCGGAACGGAAGCTGCACGACATTCACCGACAGTCATAACGGAATTACGTTACAGACTACGAACGTAATTACGTTCGTACGAAATTACGGAATTACTTCGGACTACGAATTTTCGGTAGTAAGAATTTTTCTGTCCGTTTCAGGTATTTGAGGAAGCGGCTCCACAGCCGGTACTAGCGGCGCCTCAGCCGCGGCCGGTGGCGCCCCCTCTTAAGCGCATGCATTCACTGCCGCACTCAGGCTTCATGACGACAGCACAGGTAGGTTGTAGCACACTGTCGGGAACTAGCAGAGAGGCATTAAGCATACGAGTGAGAATTAGACGGTGTGTGGCAATCATTACAATGTGCTTTGCAGCGACTTTGAGGTGCTTATTACTCACATGTTTTATGTACAGCCATACCAGCAGTCATACCTATCCGACACTGAGGTGTCAACCTCAAAAAGGAATGTCAAGCCGCTTCCCCAGGCTGGGTTTGTTACAACAATAAAGGTACAAATAATTTCGTTTCGATTTTATAGTACCGGGTATTGTATTCGTACTATTAGGATGGCTACACCAATCTATGTTCGCAGCAGTAGATAAATGTGTTGCGGCCACAGGAGTGAATGCATTTCATTTAAGTAATATAATTATTAATATTATTATTATTAATTCATATAATTATATTTTTTACGTTTGCAGAAACCCGAACACAGAGCATATCTGTCTGAGCCAGAGACGGAACCAGAGGTTGAACACAGGCGACGTATTTTTGAAAAGCTAACAACCGAACAGCATGACCTACGCACTCGCGAAGATATAGAAAGAAAATATAGGACTGTAGTTGAGCCTGGTTTAGAAGCCCATGCTCCTGCACCAGTACAGGTTTGTGCGGCACCGGCTAGAGGCAATGCGAAATCCCTAAAAGCTCAAAAACAGGCAGCCCACGTTACCCACAGAAACCAGTCGCTGTTAGTGCACTAGCTGAGTCCTCTCACCACCTCGTGTCGTGATTCGAAGACTCGCTAGTAGTTTGGAATTAGGAAATCTCCCTAACCGTTTCGTAAATAGGAGATACACGTGTAGGTTACTTGTGTTGGCTGGTGGTTAAGACAATAGAAACCAGGACGACGTGACTCGAAAACAAAATGGCCACAATGCTGTGCATAGTGATCACAACGACAGACAATGCGCGGCGGCCTTAGACACCTCTGACTCTGAGCATGCGATTTTGTGATAGATCTAGCGTTACTCCTTACATTTTACTAAATGTTTCCGTTTATATGTCTACAGATTTATTAACTTATTTAAGTGTATACAATTTAGATAGAGAGATTAGCACTCTGTGTCATTTAAACTCGTCTCTATCCTCTCTTGTAGTCAGTGTCAGCTGTGCTGACTGCGTGGTGTTACCATTCTCATTTGTGGAGCATTACTAAACGTCAGCAGAATAAACAGGCATAGTTTTCAACCAGCCTCTGTTCTGTGGTGTCTTTTTTGAGCTTTTAGGGAAATTAACACTTCTTACCAACACTGAACATTATATAATATACCATATGAGCTGTAAATGAAATAAACTCCGGACAGTGCTGTTTGTTTATAGTTTTTGTTTGACTTCCGCCAACACTGCACACGTAGTCTGCATAAAACAATGACAACACATGCCTATGCTTGCAACTAATACTTACATCATTTAAATGCTATTTGAACTTTCGGTCCTAAAACTCCTTAACTTCTTGTCTAACTCGCATACATTTTAAAAGTGTCTGACCGTTTAGCACAAATAATTATTTATACGAATCTGTAGCTTTTTATAAGTATCAGCCGAGGCACTTTTTCTGCCTTGAACAAAAACTTATTTAGACCAGTTGCACCTATCGTAAAAAGAATTCGGCTGCAAGTTATTTGACCACATGAAATTAGGTAAGTAATTTCCAGGACATTGGCCATAAACATTTAAAGGTATTGTATTTTTGTAAAAAGTTGGAGTTTAAAACACGTATTTTTTATATGTATGCAATAATTAGATCTTGGGTTTTTGGTAACATTGAAGTTACAGCATGTATTTATTGTAGCTGCAATGCATGATAATCTGAAACTGCCTATGAAGCTTTCAGTAAGTATTTCAAGGTAATGTGATCATTGCCCATATTATTGAAAAATGCTGGCTGTTTTGGCTGTGGTTTTTGTTCATAGTTTTGTACGGGGTGGCACGTTTTTTTTCAGACGATTTGACAAGGTTTTGCTTTAATCTTTATGTTGTGCTTACTAAAGAAATGAATAATTTATGCTTTTAACAGGGGATCCTCACATATTAACTTGCCATTTTTCACTTCATACGTGCAGTGGCATTTAGTAATCACACATACAGACGCACATGGACGCACGTGTACACAAAAATTTTAATTCAACAAGATGAACTTTACAGAATTGATGAAGTACACGAACTATACTTGCCATGTAATTGTGGTTTTAGGAACCAGTACATCAGCAACCCGCACCTCAGAGACGTGCACCTCAGCTTCCACAGGCTGGCTTCATCACACAGGGACAGGTAAACTGCGTGGTACCATTATGCGTATGAGCATTCATTTGCGTGGATTAGTCACTTAATTTTCATGTATTTATTGTATATATATATATATATAACCTGTACTATTTGTCAGGTGAATCTCACCAGGCTCGATTTGATGAGAAACAATTTCTGTGTTATTATTACGATTTTTTTTTCGTTTTTCTACAATTATGGTTGTTGTTTTTTGCTTTTAGAAGGTTGGCACTGATTTGCATCTTATTTCTGGTAGGTCCCTCAGCAGGTTTCAGTTCAGATACCTGATGTGGCTCCAGTCTTTATTGAGCCACTCAAGGACTTCCTAGTACTTGAAGGAAGCAAGGTTCGACTTGAATGCAAGGTGACCGGAAGACCAACCCCTAACATTGAGTGGTTCAAGGACGGCATCTCCATTGAGGTGAGAAGGCGCAACATGATTGAATTTAACATTTTGTGGTGTCTGCAACATTCTTAGTAATTTGATAATGGAACTCCCAATCTTTTGCCTATAGTACACCCATGTACAACTGGTTTTATTTTTGCAGAATAATTCCGACTATGTGACGAGCATTCTCGATGATGGACTATGTACGCTGGCGATTGAGGAGTCGTTTGCAGACGATACGGCAAGATTCGCCTGCAGGGCTACTAATCCTCTGGGTAGTGCTGAGACATCAGCTGTGCTGACTGTCAAAGGTATGTGCAATTATTTCGTGTCTGCTTCATAATCTTGTAGTAATCTTTCTCTCTCTTCCTCTCTTTCTTCCCCCTTCTCTCTCTCTATATATATATATCATTTGTTACTTCTTATTATTTTTACGTGAGGGCAGCTATTGTTATTGATGTTGCAGCTATAAAATCTTTTTGATGATCACAAATAAATTATTTAAGTAGATCAGATATTTCTGAAGTACAGGTAAAACCTTAACATTTGCTGAGATTGGCGATCCATTTCTTGAAAAATCACTAAAATATTCATTATAATTTTTACATGAGAATAAATTAAAGTAAGAATAAGTGTGTTAAATAATCAATAAAACAACTATTTACATATACAATATTACTATATACAACCCAGTACAACTATTTACTAATGTAGTTTGTTCATATTATATCTAAGATCTTATAATAATAGTTTTTCGTTTTATCACCATCGCCAGCTTGAAATGCGCGTGAGGTGTAGACCTGCGAGTGTTGAATGTGCAGTTGTTGATAGTGGCTATGATGTAATGCCTGTGTGTACTGTGTATAGTAGTCATCTCACTGTGATGTAGTGCACCAATGTGAAATTGTCCGTTCATACTCTCAGACACGAACCCGCCGGAGTACATGCCACCCGACTTTGTGAAGCGACTGGAAAGCGCCGAGGTACCAGAGGGCAGCACTGTCACGTTCGAGTGTCACGTGATAGGAAACCCGGCGCCAGAGATCCACTGGTTCAAGGACGAGATTAACATCGATCATCTCCCGCACTTTGTGATCGCAAACAATCCAAACGGTAAGCAAAGTTGCAATTCAAGATGTGCACAGGCTGCGAACGGGTCCTGGGAAACATGGAAAGTCCTGGAATTTTTATTTTTCCAGGTCTAAAAAGTTCTGGTTAATAAGTTATTAATATCCTTAAGTATTGGAAAGTTCTGGAAATTGAGCACATGCCCACTTGTGTTCACATTTTACTAATGATAATAAGAAGTTTAATATAGAGACGGATATATAGCCCCGTTTACTGTCTGAGAAGCAATAACACTTGCTTGAGGCAAGAGATTGTTCACTAATTGTTCATTGGGAGATACGAGTTACAAATACTGTATTTAGCTCGACTTGGCATCTATGGAAATAGACCTTCTAGCTTCTAGAAAATGTTTTATCTCCAGTACGAACCCTGTAACAAATTGCTCTGGATTGTCCCAAAATTTTGCATCACGTGCCATCTTTTAGATGCGTGTGGATTCTTTAATATTTTTTGGTGGCAGCTCATATGTTATATAGTAAGATGTCGTTTCGAGCGATTCTTCAAAGTTTCATTACCCGTCGTTGCAGGAGTGTGTCAACTGACAATTCAGGGAGTCACACCAACACACAAAGCACGATACACGTGCAAGGCTTACAACGAGTTTGGGCAGTCTTCCACTAGTGCTGAGCTGCTAACCAAGCGTAAGTGCTTCCAATTGTTTTTCTAAGGGTGCTGCACTTGCAAGCAATCGTGGACCACATCGATCACGATTGTTCATTCCTTCATGCTGTATATTAGCTCTAGGTTTAACAAAGTGTGCGGTTATTCACAGCCAGGGAGGGTTTCAAAACTTTGCTATTCTCGATTTATTGTGAGAAAGTGTTGCGCAGCATATGAGTACGTTCATTTTATGATAGTCTCGCTCCTATATTCTCGTGAAATCCGACGAGGAGCTAATTCTGAAAAAGGTTTCACAGTGACGTAAGGCGTGCAGCGTATATGATGCCGCTCAGGATTTAGCCGCGTTCCCCTTTAAACTATTTGTTTAAATCCGGTTTAATCTATTCGTTTAAATCCGGTTTAAACTATTCGTTTAAATCCAGTTTAAACTATTCGTTTAAATCCGGTTTAAACTATTTGTTTAATTCTGGTTTAAACTATTGCTTGCAACTATTTATTTGCATCCGGTTTGAGCTATTTGTTTGATGTGCAGCGGCGGAGACAGCATACAGGCCCGTGTTCAAGCAGGAACTGCACGACATCAAGGTTGGTCAGAACCAGACGGCGAGGCTGGAAGTGCGCGTTGATGCTCACCCTCCTCCAGAACTCACCTGGATGCACAACAAGCAACCCATCGACCAGTTCAACCCCAACGTCAGGGTACCGTCACACTGTTACTATTACACTATATTATATATATATATATATATTATATATATATATGTGTGTGTGCATGTGTACAAAGTATCTACCTACAATTTATACATATATATATACTGTATATATACATATTATATATATATATATATATATATATACTCTGTAGTTAAATACTCTGTTCACACGCGTACACGTGCATGCACACACATGCATGCACACAAACAGATGTGTGTATAGATTGTGTAGATATGTTCATGGCCTTGCCTTATCAGTTAACAAACAACATTGTCCCAAACAATATCGTCACCTGCTAACCAAACGGGGTTTCAAATCTTTAACTATAACAACTTCAACTCTAACAATACGATGAATAAAATAAATCGACAGCCACGTCGTCAACATGCTGCGTGACCTTTACAAACAAGTTGCAGTTCTTGTGGTTTCACTATATAACCGTGATTCGCGTGAAAACGATAACAGCGACCTTTCTGTAGAGGTATCCGCGTGACGCCCCACTCCGCGTTACAGGCGCAGTTTGAGGGCCAGAACCTGTTCTCGCTGACCGTCGCCGGCACGAGCGAGCGTGACTCGGGCATCTACATCTGCACGGCGCGCAACCCCATAGGCGAGGCTCAGTCTACCTGCATCGTCAACGTCGTGCCGGGCGAGGTGCCGCTGCAGGCACCGCGACCCGTGCAGGTGATGGTGGCGCCACCGAAGCAGATGATCGGCGTCAGCGAGCCGGACATGTCGGCGTCGGACGTCGAGTCGCAGAAGCCGAACTTCACAAAGCCGCTGCTGAACGCTTACGTGCTCGAGGGAAACAAGTGCAAGCTAGACTGCGTCGTCGTCGGCAATCCAGAACCGGAGGCAAGTTGTCTGTCCCTCGAGTTGTGTGTGTGTGTGTGTAGAAGTAAGAGCGCGCACACACCCATGAAGATGTAGATGGAGATATGTAAATATGAATATAGAATGTGGTCTCAATGTTTTATATTTTATTTATATTTTCCAAATTTTGTATGTAGGCTAATTCGATTTTTTAATATATATTTAAATGTTTGTTTATATATTTTAATCTATACATTATAATATTATCATATTTTATATATAAGAGCAAAGTCAAGGTTTTGGGTGATTATCAGCAAGTAAATGTTGAGAATGCCTAAATTGAATACCTCATCTATTTTCACAGCATTAACAATTAGTAATTACCAAATAATTATAACCTAACCACCATTAACCTACCATTAATTACCAATATTACTACTTATTTGTCATCGTGCTGATTGTCCCATTCTGTTGTCAATTATTTTTAACGTTTTTCAATGTTTCTTCGTGTATCTCCCCAGGTCATCTGGTACCACAATGGCAAGCCAGTGAAGGAGTCGCCAGACTTTCAGCTCTTGTTCCATGGCGATCACTGCACGCTGGTCATCCGCACGGCATATCTCGAAGATGCTGGTGAATACGTGTGCAAGGCCGTGAACAAATCAGGCGAGGCCGTCAGTACCAGCCGTCTACACGTCGAACGTAAGCCTTACTGAACTGTTACACTACGTAAAGCAGCATGGAAAACCGCGTATCGCGAGCAATACGAGAATAGAGATAATTGAAATGTGTAAAGGAATGGAAAATGGTGTCAAGCGTAAGATCGTGAGATAATAATTCCTGCACGGCACTCACCGAGTACGGCAGTGAGTCCGCAGCAGCAGCAGCAGCACCTGTAGTGCATCATCAGCATCACCATCTTCCTCTCTCTTCCCTTGCAGCGCTGAGCGAGATGAGCGATGCTGAGAAGGGGTTCAGCGGCGCGGAGAGGAAGCGTGAGATCATCGTCTCCAAGGAGGAGTCTGTCGCGCCGAAGTTCGTGCAGCTGATCGCTGACGTGACAGCGAGTGAGGGAGAGAGGATAACGTTCGGCTGCCGTGTGACGGGAGCGCCCGAGCCAGAGGTGACCTGGTACAGGAACGGTCGACTCATCGAGTCGTCGCCAGACTTCCAGGTAAGGTCATTTTGCGGGCTTCGTTATGTGTGCAGCGGCTTATATTCTGTGTATACTTATACGTTTGGCATGTTGTTGAGCCTGCGCTCAACAACCGTGTAAGATCAGTTTATGTATGTATCTATCTATATTTATGTATCAGGAGTAAATTATAATAAATTTGTTATTATTTACTCCTGCATATATGTACGTATATATATACACCCCCCATACACACATATATATGTATATATATGTTTATGGAAGTAAAAAAAGACGGACACCCATGCAGAAATATATGAAAACATTTGAAAAATATATATGAAAAATATAAAATATTTATATATATTTTTATTATATGTATATATATATATATATATATATATATATATATA